ATATACAATTGTAATTTTTAATATTTATTCAAAAGAATCCTACTATAGGCTTATAGCAACATAATGTATTTTGTAATCAACATATTTGAAAACGGAAAACGAAATAAATTACTCAACACCCCTTGGATCCACAGACCCTACAAGGCTCTTAGTTTGGCTATGGTGCTCTGGTAGTCCTGCTCGACCACACTGTACTCCTCCTGCAGCTGCTCCATGCGCTGTTTAACCGTTGGCAGGCGGGCCCGCAGCATCTCCGTATCCATCTTGAAGCGCTCCATTTTCTTTAAATCCTTAAGCTGCTTGTAATAGACCGCGTTAAGTCGTTTTTTAACTTCCAGACGGTAGGATCGATACTCCTTTTCATCCTTCACATTTGTGTAGAAGAGACGCAGAAGCTCGTACACTTTCCGCACTTGGCGGGGATTGAGCTTCAGGGCTTCACGAGCTTCGCGCACCATCTCCTTGTTGAAGCCCTTGACGATCTCGGCACGGGCAAACGACTTCAGTTCCTTGCAGGACCGGGCGTCCACAAAGTTGCGCAACCGCTGGAAATCCTCGGATGGATCCTCCACGGTGATGTCCACCACATTCTTTTGTGACTGATAAAACTTGTAAATGGTCTCCACGACCTGTGTGGCCAGGCCCAGTCTTTGGAAGGGCGGCAATATCAACATTTGGCTTATCCTTGGACGCTTATTTTGCGGATAGGCGTAGTACTCGTAAACGGTGGTGTAGCCAGCAGTGGCGTACTGCCACTGGCCATCGTTGTTTTTGTACTTTTCATAGCTGAAATAGAATTGGAGCTTAGAAAGGGACTTGGAAGGTGGTCGAAAAGGGGATAAAGTATTTATGTAATATTTGTATAGCCAAAGTAATCTTTAACGCGCAGAATTTGGCGTGATTATGTATCCGGCAAGAACGGATATAAATTGGCTTTGTGCTATTAGGATTCCATTGTTTTCATAAAACTTTGACTCTTAAAAAGCGGCGGAGAAATCAAAATTGATAAAATCAATTTTAGGCTTGAGTACAACGAAAGAACTCAAAAGAAAATAGGAATAGGTCTCTTCTAAGATTCTGTAAAAAGATAGTAGGCAAGAGAAAACTCCCATATTTCCATATTAGAAAATTGCATACTACCGTAAAGTCTTCAGAATACATAAAGTAAATAATATGGTCGTAATACATTATTGGAATTACAAGTCAAGTGTAGTGGTTGCATAAGGAAATTAAGTTTTAGATTACTAGATTACTTACCACAAGAAGTAGCACCACTGTGGATCATCGGTGTCGATGTAGGAGGCAGCGTCCACGAACCACAAGATGAAGGTCTGCAGCCGGGCAAAGAACTTGAGGAAAGACGAACTCTTGTAGTCGCACTGGTAGATCTCGAAGAGCCGCTCGCTGCCATCGTCCGATTTTTGGGTATATTCGCTGATCTTCTCGCCGAACGGCTGGAACTTGTCCGCCTTGTCCAGTGTCTTTAGAAACTCATCGAGATTGATGAAGTAGCAGCCGTCCGGCAGACTTTGGGCAATGGTGCTGACCACGTCGTCGGCCTTGATCTCTCCGCCGGAGATCTCGTTCACCCGCTTGCCGTACTCCACGCCCAGGTAAATGTGCAAGGGTCCAGCCGTGTACATCACTCGCACATGCAAATCCTGGTAGCCAAAGATGGTCTCAGACTCGCCAAAAATCTGATGGGCCATCGCGGGGTGGAAAGTTAGGGCGTCGTTATGGATATCCCCCTTGTCCCGAACTGAAAACATATGCATATGTTGCAGAACCTTTACAGATGCAATCGAGGCCACTTACTCAGCTTAAAGTCCACAACCTCGAGTGCATCAATCACCAAATCCTGATACTCCTCAATTTGTGCCATTTTGTGTTATATTTTCAGAGCCGCCAGCGAACTTGCTTTTGCAGATGACAGCGCAAAATATCCTTTCGGGTCTTGTTTAAGGTGGCAGTCACGTGAAATCCAACAATCTTAGTGCTGTTGAAAACAGTGAAATGGCACGTTTTATACAATATAAGTCGGCTTTAGCGGGTGTTTTAGTGTAATTTTCGCGGCTAAACAAAGACCGATGCCAACAGTGTTGGACAATACAAGCAGCCACCCCACAAATAGGGTTGTCAGATATTTTGAATAAACTATTGTTAAATCATGGCGTGGTAATGTGCGCATACAATTATTAAAAAATGTAAACTAACTATTGTTATTTTTCTTTTTGTCTACAAAAATTTTAAATTCATTTTTAGATAGTTTCGACATTTTTAGCACTGTCACGGCCTAATACCGACTTATCGTTATCTTTTAATAGTGTAGGCCGCTATTTTTTGTTTTATTAAAGATTACGCCATAATTTGCATTATCTACAAATTTGTTTAAATGTGACTTTTCTATTTAAATGTCCATTTCAAAATCAAAATTCTCTCGTCTGGCAAACACTTTTCAACACTACCAAACTCGCGCAGCCAACTTAACACAGCATTTGTAAGCAGAATTTGTGCGGAGAAATATTATTACAAAAAAGCCGCTTTTGCATCCAGCAACATAAGGAAGCACGGTAGGCGATCAATCCAGGTTGCAAACAAGAAGGAGAGCATCAATTTCCCCAGAGAAAACCAGTGTCAGTAGATTCCGCGGCAGGACAAAGACAAATCGAGGTGAGTGGAGGAAAACTGCTTCGTCATAGCGGTAGAACTTCAAGTAAAATGCATTTTAGAGCACAATGGACACCTATTTGTTCGATGGCGGTCGCATCACCAAGATGGAGGTGGACTACGAGCCGGCCTGCAATGAGAAAATCCCCCTTGCAAAGGAGTTGGCCAAGAAGAACCCGGACGCCTTCCACGAAGCCATCGAGATGATGCTGCAGCTGGAGAAGCAGACGCGCTTGGGCGCCGACATGGTCTCCTGCTCGCGCGTCTTGGTGGCCATCTGTCAGATATGCTTCGACGCCTCCAACTGGAACGCCCTCAATGAGTATGTGTCGCTGCTGGTGCGCCGGCGCTCTCAACTGAAGCAGGCCGTGGTCAAGATGATTCAGGAGTGCGTCACGTACGTGGACAAGACGCCTGACAAGGAGACCAAACTAAAACTGATCGACACACTACGCTCCGTCACCGAGGGCAAGATCTACGTAGAGATTGAGCGCGCCCGGCTGACCAAGATACTGGCCGACATCAAGGAGGCGGATGGCGATGTAGCCGGAGCGGCCACAGTCATGGAGGAGCTGCAGGTGGAGACCTACGGCTCGATGGACAAGCGCGAGAAGGTGGAGCTCATCCTGGAGCAAATGCGGCTCTGTCTGCTGAAAGAGGACTACGTGTCCACGCAGATCATTGCCAAGAAGATCAGCATCAAGTTCTTCGACGATCCAGCGCAGCACGATCTCAAGCTGAAGTTCTACTACCTGATGATCCAACTTAACAGGGACACGTCCTTCCTAAAGACTTCACGCCATTATCAGGCCATTGCGGAGCCGCCGCGCAAGAAGACTGGCCTCACACCCGTCGACTCCGCCGCATCCACGGAAGAGCAGAAGAAAAAGGACGAGGACAAGAAGAAAAAGGAGGACGAAGACAAGGACAAGAAGCCAGAGGTCGCCCCAGAGCCCGAGGTCGAGATTGAGCTTACCGAGGAACAGAAGAAGGAGCTGACGGAAAAGCTGGTCTGTGCCGTGCTGTATTGCGTTTTGGCGCCCTTTGACAACGAACAAAGTGACATGATGGCCCACCTCTCGAAGAACAAGAAGCTGGAAGAAGTGCAAGCCTACAAGTAAGTGTTTTATTAAATTGTCTTAGTTGCAGTCTGTAATTTGTATCCTTTTTTAACAGAGAAATTCTGCGCTTGTTCATGTCTAAGGAGCTGATTAACTTCGACACATTTAATGCAGACTTTGGGCTCGTGCTGGCCGAGAATGAAATGTTCAAGGATAGCACAAAGCACGGCAAGAAATGCATTACCGAGCTTAAGGATCGCCTGATAGAGCATGTAGGTCAACCATTGAGGATTCCCCTTCTCAAATATATTTATAAATATTTTGCACCCACAGAACATTCGCATCATTGCCATGTACTACTCCCGCCTGCATTTGGCGCGCATGAGCGAGCTGCTGAACCTGCCCACTAGCCGCTGCGAGGAGTACCTGTCCAAGCTGGCCAACAGCGACACCATCCGCGTGAAGATCGACCGTCCCGCTGGCATCATTTACTTTACCCAAAAGAAGACCGCCTCCGACATTTTAAACAATTGGGCCACCGATGTGAACCAACTGATGTCGCTGGTTAACAAGACCTGTCACCTGATTAACAAAGAGGAGTGCGTCTACTCGGTCATGTGCGCTGTCGAGGAATAGTCCTGTTTCCATACATCTGCTTAGAATAGTGCTTTTCCTTTGAAATGCCTTCCCATATGCAACTGTAACTGTACTAACCACCCAACCATCAACATTTCGATTCTCTTCGCAAAGTTTGTATTCATTGAATGAACTACAATAATTAAAAGAAAACCCTCTAAATATCCATTGCAATTGGGTGCAGTTTTATGCCAGTCACCGGCACTTTCTGACGGCGTTTCGCAACACTCAAGCGCTTTTTGGGGGCGGGTCGGCGTGCTTCTTATTAGCGAGATTACCCATGGGTGTAGAATGGCGCATAGAGAAGGGGTCGATGGTTCGAATGAAATAAGCACAAATACAAGAAGTTATGTCTTAGAATTTAAATTCAATTGACTTTATATTTAGCTTTATAAAAAGAAGTATGGTCAAATTCTAAATTTCCCAGCCTTCCAAAAATAAATTAATTAATATATCGCGGTCATGTCAGGCTAAAAATTGATTTAAAGTTAATTAAACATGGACCTAAAAATATATACAGTTAATTTAACGTATTGAAAAAAAACCATTTACTGAAATTTTGGTTAAATGTAGTATTGTCAGTACTGCCTTAGTAAAACATTTATTTTTTTGTCAAACCCCCTTGGACCTTTCGACGGCGCCCCTGAGAACGTGTTACTCTGGTTATTTGTACCATACCGTACATATCGCGAAAGTGTTTCCATTTTGAAATCGAGAATGCCAAAAGAAGATTGCAAGTACTGGGAGAAATGCTATCAGCGTAATCCTGCCCATTTGTCCAAATACAATCATCCAGAGAAGCCAGCCGAGACAGAAGAAGACGGTGCTGAAGGTAGAAAAGTGGCGCCAAAAAGAAGTGCATCCTCGCAGTCGAAGGAAAAAGAGAAGGAGACGGATCAGCATCAGCCGAGCAATTCGGAGGAAATGGACAAGCCCAACGCAAGCAACTCCAGTGCAGGCATGGAGAACGAGGAGGAGGCCAAGGGCAGCTATGAATCCGAAACTGCGGAGCTTCACAAGGAAGCCATGAACAACATATCCGGGAAGAACTACATGGAGATTCTTGAGAAGCGCATTCGTCTATCCGTACAAAAGGAGTACGACAATCTCTGCGAGTCCAATGAGTTCATCAGGCACAAATTCCTTGTCGAAATGCCGCCGGACTTCTATGAATTTTGGAAATTTGTGGAAAGTCTGAAGACCGATCCCGCACATCCCAAGGATGCGGGCTTAGTGCACCTGGACAAAGTGTTCCAGCTGCAGTTGGTTGGTCCATTCGAGTTCCTGGCCGGCAGATTCCACGGCGCCAAATTGGGCGAACCGGGGGATTATTTGCGCCACTGGCGCTTCTACTACGATCCACCCGAGTTCCAGACGATCTTCGTGCGCCGAGGCACAGGGATTCATTACGGCTACTGGCGAGATGTGCCGCAGGAAAAGGAGAATCTCTTAATAGCCCGCACCGACTCTTCCAAAGGCTGTGAAATTCAGTTCGTGGCTGGAAACGCCTTCGATGCGTTCCTCTACTACCTGGAGCATGACTTTGTGGCCACTCCCTTCTCGGCCGGGCAGTTGAACGGAATCAAAAAGGCGGTGCCGAAGTACTTGAGCGACCATAACCTGGAACTGGCTCAGCTGGACCGATTGCAGCGGGAGCGAAACAAGCGGGTGGTGGCCAAGACGTTTCATCGTGCCGGGATTGTGGTGCCCTTCGACAAGAAGACGCAGCTGGGCTACCGCCCGCTACCAGTCAGCGATGTCGAACTCAAGAAGATGCTGACCATGCTGGAGCGCAAGGAAATCGATAATGGAGCCGCCAAGCAGGCGGTGCTAGAGAAGCTGCAGCCGGTGGCCAACGCCGCCATTATAGCCGTGGATGAATCGGACTTCGGCAGCGCACTGGAACTGGGCATCGATATGTTCAGCAGTGGGCACAAGGAACTGCACATGCTGACCTCCTCGCTGCTTGTTCCCGCCTATTCGATGCTTTCCCGGCCGCAGTTCATCGCCATCGCCAAGGCGCACATGGAGCAGCGTCGGCGAGAGGTGAACCTCAGCATGTTTGAAGTACTAAAGTAGTTCGTTTTTTTTATTCCGCAACCGCAACATTTTTACAAGCATTAAAACTAGGAAGAACACAGCCGAAAGTAGTTTCACATGTACAGATAGGAGTTCTCCTTACGCGGTGGGATGTAGCCGGAGCTGCACGACACGCCTACGCTCTGAAGCAATTTGATCACTGGCTGGGCGGCCGTGGAGTCCAGGGGCAACTTGTCGGTATAGATAACGAATGAGCTCACGGGCAACTCCTCCTGATCCCTCCAACTGGCAACTAAAAACAGACGGATGAGGGTAAAATATATATTCAAATTATTCGTTTACGGGCATTAGAACCACTCACCGCCCGCTGCCACTCCGGCAATGAAATTGGGAGCCTCTAGTTCGGTGACATCCTTCTGGTTGACACCTACACCTCGCACAATGGCTATGTGATCCCGGTAAAACTGGATATTTTCGCTCTTGAACTCGACCTTTGGCTTCAGCGTCAGCGTGATTACTTTCTTGGCCAGTTTGGCGTAGGGCAGCAGAAGCTCAGTGACCTCGCCGCTGCTGGTCAGGTCCTCCTCCAGGACGGCTAGCAGCTGCTTGGTCGAAGGATTCCAGTGAAGGGACGAGGTCTTGGCAGGAATGCCGCAAACCCGCTTTGAATCCTTGCCCAGCACAGAGGTGCCGAAGTGGGTGACATGGACGCCCTCAATAACCAGCAAAAGATCACTCTCCAGGGGAACTCCTGGGGCAGCCGATTCGTCATCGAATTTAAGCTGCAGCCTGAAAATCCTTAGGATTAACACTAGGTAAACAAGGCGAAATCACGCACTTCTCGACCGGCTTCAGGTTCTCCAGCTCATCCTCCTCGCAGTCGTCCCAAAAGGCGCGTGACGAGGGTATGTTCAGTTCCCCAAATCCTGGACAGCTCATTGTGTGATTTTGTAAGTTAATTTATGGGAAAAACTAATGTGATGAGCTTAATTCCGGTCACTATGTTTTTTTTTCAAGTCATCAGTGTGACCATGTGCTGAACGCCAAATTATGTACCTTGTCCCTTCAAACAAATACCGGATTATGATATATTTTTTAGTTTAACAACCTTTTTCGGCAATTATCTTTTTTATCTTAAAACATAATTATTTAAATAAGCTTGGCAGGCCAGAGCGGTCCAATTTGCCAAATTTTGTAGCATAAACTTAGCCAATGGCATATTTTTTAAATAAATTTTAAAAATGAGTGCAGAACTTCCATTTATTTAAAATCAAGAATTGTTATTTAGAATGATTATTTACAAAATAACCGAACACTTTAAAAAACAACTGCATAAGTTGCAAATTTTTTAATTTAAATTAAACAAATCGGTAGCAACGATTAAACAAATTATGACGTATTCTGTTTAATACTTACAGCGTTCGCCTTTTGATATTTGTATGTTTCGTAAGATTTTAACTGGGCTCCAGTCACGGTCACACTGAAAACAAAAAATGCAAGATGCAGGCCCATATTCGAATTGGAAAACCACTTTGATCGCGAATTAGAAACTGATTAGGAGCCGCACGTGGCTGAAAAATATCCGATCGTCAGTGCGCTAGGACTGCGACCGAATTCGACCAGCCGGAGCAGCAGGAGTTGCGCGAACCAGCGCCATGAGGAAGCGCAGCTCGCGCTGTAACTCGGACACTTTTAAGGAGGAGCAGATGGACCACAACGGTGACGACATCAGCCTGCTGCAGCGCCCACTGCGCACCGCCCACGCGGGATTCGAGGAAGCGCGCCGTGCCTACGAGGATGGCACCACCGAGGTGAGTCTCTTCCGAGTGGGCTACGTGACTCAGCTTTGGCCTGCAATGGCGGAGGCTCCTTTGCTTTCCCAGCTTTGTGGTTCCCCCGATAACCGTCGCTCTTTTCGCAGGTGCGTCAACTGCTCAGCCTGGAGTGCAGCCTGATCTACGAGTGCAAGGTGTGCCGGAACATGTTTCGCAGTCTGGCCAATTTCATCAGCCACAAGCGCGTCTTTTGCTGCGTCAGCGCTCGTTCCGCCAACGGCAGTGGATACACAGTGAGTGGGCAGTAAAGACAACCCCATGACAAGGACTTTATGGCCCAGGGAGATTCGTTAATCCTTACTAATTTGCTTTGCAGGATCAGAACTCCACGATGATCATACAAACAGGTGCCGGTCCGTCGCCGCAGGACATTGAGCACATGCTGCGCAGCAGGAGCACGGGCTGCTCGCCAGTTCCTCGCGAAGTGCGTCCCATGCGAGGAGGCGGCGGAATGCGCGACCTGAGTGGCGTCATCGAGCGCCTGCGTCGGGAAAAGGCTCCATCGCAGGCCAGACGGAGCTCCCCCCCTGTCCTCCAGCTTGAGTCCATGCCCACCTCCAGTCAGGCCGTCTACCAGACCATCAAGGTGGACCAGGAGGACAGCATAAGGACAGAGCTGGACGAGGTGCACCGCATGCTCAATCCTTCTGAGACCATTGTAGGGCCCGATGGCAAAGCCCTGACCACCGTCAAGTTGGAACGCCAAGGGGGCAGCGATTCCGGCGAAAACGGCGAGCAGTCCATCAGCGACGAAACGGAGACGAGCATCTTCTGCGAAATCTGTACGTCACCCATCCAAATAGGCCTTGAAATCAATTAGTGACTGGCTTATTTCCCAATCTCGTTTACAGGCAACCTGACTTTTCAGACGCACAAAACCCTGGAGCTGCACATTCAGAAGCATCACTCGTCATCGGCGTTTGTGTTTCAGTGTCCAGCCTGTTCGTTGACCTTTTTACAGGCCGCTGCAGTTATTCGTCATTTGTCCAAGGACCACAAGTATGTATATCTAGTGAAAATACAGTCAATCTTTTTAAAACAAGGGACATTAAAGCTTAATTTATTTATTTTTTTTATTGCTGAATATTTAATTGAGGGCCACTCTTTTTTTAACATGTCAAACAATTATTATTTCATTCGATTTTAGTTAGCTCTTTCGTGCTTTAGGAATTCTTTCGTAGGCTTTTTATACATTAAATTTTGCATTTCATTTTTTTAGGGTTTTTATTCAAATACATTTAAATATTTTCTGTCTACAAGTGAGATACAATTGTGCAGCAGATTTATTGCCTTGTCAGGAGTTACCATACTTTATGTTTAATTTAAATCGAACACACCTTGTTTGTAAATCTATCTTAACAAAAAAGCGAGTGCACCGATTTAATATATATGAAAACATAAATATTTTTTTGTTAGTTGTTATTCTGGTCCAATGACTATATTTACCTTAACTATTCAAAATGGGAACTATAAGTCCCAGGTAGCTGGATTTTAACACGCTGACTTCGATATCTAGTAAAATAATACGCATACTCTCGCAAGCATCAGTTTTTTCTTATTTTCTGTTAATTTCTGTGTTGGTTTAAGAAGTTCGACTAAAGCCAAATTTCTTTCTCATTGTTCATATATTCCAAAGCACTTTTTAACTGAAATTAAATGCTTTTGTTTTTCCAAATATAATTTTCAGAAAGCCAACACGTCGCATTCGCATGATGCGGAACACTATCCTGAAGCGCCGCGTGCAGCAAGGAGATATTCAGCCCAAGGGACCCTGCCGTGAGCTGAAGCGCCTGCAGCTCTCCGACGACGTGGTGGGCTATGTCCCGGAGCCCCTGGATGCCAGCGGTGAGCAACGTAAGATCATGTCTTTGTGTATCTATTGCGAAAAATCCTTTGAGCGTCGCGCGGCTCTGTCAACACACCTGCTCAACTGTCGGGCGAAACAAGAGGCGCTGGCCAAGCCGGCTCCGTCGGTCAAAAAACCTAAGGTCAAGAGCAATGAGTCCAGTCTGGATGCGGCTGACGAGGATCCAACTGCCTCTATAGATCTGCCGAAAGATGAACCCATTAAAAAGGAAGAAATTTCACTCAACGATATGTTTGCTGATCTACCGGAGCCAAACGATTCATTTGCCCCCGGACTGCACACAGTTTCGTTGGACCAGCTTAATTTGGCCAATGAAAGCGACTCTGCCAGCGATGAGGCCTCTAACACCGACGAAGAGCACGAGCTTGGACCGGAAGCGGGTCCTGAATCCACTATGGATCCGGAAGATGCCAAGGGCAAGGTCAAGAAGAAGCGCATCGTCCCAGCGGAGAAGCAGCTGCGTTGCCGCTGCAAGATCTGCCACAAGCAATTCAATGCCCTTGGAAACCTGCGTCGTCACATATCCATGTTCCACTACCGCGCCCGCCGCTTCGGCTGTAATCTGTGCGAGTATCGCGCCTTCAGGCGCTACGATATCGTTAATCACTTGGGCTTTACCCACAAGATAGAAGGAGACCGAGACCAGCTGACGGAGCAGTATGTGTCCACCCATGAGTGCGAATACTCTCGCGACGATGTGGACGGGGATATCATTTTGCTGGACAAGGAGGAGGAGGTGGCAGCGGCGGAAAAGGAGACCAAGCCTCCGATTAAGACGTACGAAAGGCGCTTGAAGCGTGTCAAAACCATAACAGAATCTGTGGGAGAAGCGAGACCCATATCACCGACAGCCGTGATAAAGGAGGAACCCGGCCAGGAGCCGGTGGAGTCCACTCCCACGCCCAGCAAGAAGCGTCGCAAGTCACGCACTCAAATCTCACCCGAATCCGGCGAGCATTCCCAGGAGAAGCGCCCCATCCGCAAGCGAGTTAAGGCGGTCAACAAGGACTTTGTCTACGATATGGTCAGTTTTAAGCCAGATGGATCGGGACAGCCACCACCAGCTACACTGGCCGTGGAGTCCATGCGGGCCAAGCTGCGTCGCCAGCCGACGGGAAGCCACGACGAATCCAAGCCGAAACAATGGGAGGCCTACATAACGGAGGCCAAGAAGCCTCTGATTTCGGGCATCACACAACGTATCATGTTGGAACTGGTGAGTCAGGGTCTGGCGGTGTCCGCCACTTTACCGGAACTGCCCTCAGAGCGACCGCAGATACGACCGCGCCTAATCTCGCACACACGCAGCGAGGGCGGCCAGCAGCAGCAGCAGAATGTGGTGGAGACCTCCTTGAATCCTGCTCCGGAAACCGAGAGTTTCATAGAAAAGATTGCGAAGCGCACGGCAGCAGCTGGCAAGGATGCCGCTGTTATCAGCAACCTGTGGAACAAGGTCAACACTGCGATTGCCCAGCAGCAGCAGCTCAAACAGGAGCAGGAGCAGCAGCTCAAGCAGGAGCGGGAGCCAGAGCAGGAGCCAGAGCAGGAGCAGGAGCAAAACCAAGAAAGTCAGCCAAAGGAGAAACCGAAAAGCCCCCTGCCTACGCCACCCTCGCCGCCCAGCATATGCCACGCCCACGCCCCCGCGACCGTGCCCGAAACACTGGCAACCACTGGCATGGAATGCCTGGGCGGCAAGAGCAGTCAAGCGGGAGCACCGACAATGTTTCCGGCCCTGCCCAAGCCGCCATCCGTTCTGCAGGCAGCCGCCAATGGGACCATTCAGCTCACCCTGGACAGTCTGCTCCGAGCCGCACTGCAGAACTAAACGGAACCGGAAATGGAAATGGAAATGGAGGCCAGCACCACCGTCACTACTCTTTGTCTTTCCAACTGGATGTTTGCCCAAAGTTGTCGGCTGGTCGCTGTTCCATGATCCCTTTTGAATGTAATTCACTAGTGTCCTTATTGTAAAACCAACTAAATAAGAAACCAAGAAGAATCAAACCAAGAATCCCTAGATGATAAATACGCTTTGAGTATTACGTGGTAAAAAGCAACCAAAACGAATTGAAAATCGTAGAATAATTTTCGGCTATTAGCAAATGTTTGTTGTTTGTGTGAATTGAAAAAAAAGTACAGATTTTTTAAAATGTTATAGTTAATACTGTATATGTACCTAATTTTATAACCCACATAAAGTAAGTCACACAAGTGTATACGGTTGAGATACAATACGTATGTGCACCAGATTGCCTTGTCGGGACTTGAACCATATATTTTAAATTTTTGTTTAAGTCCAGCTAATCTTCTTTGTGTACCTATACAAATAAGTACTGGTGTCGACCGATTTAAGAACATTTTAAAATGTTTGAAAAATATAATTTGTATAACTTTAAGTAGTAGCCTTAAAATTCTTTTAATCAAACTCAATCCTCATTAAATCTTTCCGTTAGTAATTTATATACAGCGAAAAATTTGTTTGACTCTTTGCATCTGCAAAACACCGGAAGTCGCTTCTTACGCATACCAAATATTTACTCTTTGTCGAGAAAATCGGCACTCCCATAATATACATATATTAAGAAGATGGAAAGGCTTTGGATATTAAGTTTGTTGACGCTTCATCTTGCCATCTATCATATGAATCCATCGCCCCACCATCCACCTAATTAGCATTATTATATTCGGGAACATCACAGCTGAGGAAACGAGAACACGACGACTTCAGCATGATGCTGCATAAATTTATTACTCGAAATGTTAATTGCAAACTAAGCGAAAGTCAGGCGCAAGTTGTACAAGGCAGTCTGTTGTACATGCACAACCCAGATACATGTTTATATATCTTTTATACATACGCAACGTTGACTCGGCAAGTATTTTGTCAAAACGCAACAGACACAGCAAGAAGTAAACACTCGCTGACATTCACAGAAGTCCTGATCTACGCGAGTAGTTCAATGTATTCATATGTATAGCATTGTAATGTACAAGGTAGAGCCTTAAATCAAATCACCAAAAGATAATAAATCCTACGATAATCATCCACAAAAATGGCCACCATGTGAATTGATACCAGTCGGGTCAACAAGTGTTCGATTTCCGATGCCGAGCACCTGTTCGCCCTGTTTTTTGGGGCCCGGGAGTGTTTTGGGCTCCCAGCTGGATGGAGTATCCGTGATTTAGAGCAGGTCACCAGCAAGCTGCTGTTGCTCTTGGGGCTGTTACTGCGGATGGACGACAGCAGAAATTGTGTCACGGTCAGGAGTATGGGCGTGGACCCGGGTATTGGGCTAGGACTCTGGCTTGGACTGGGAATGGGAATGGGAATGGTGCGAAACCGAAACCGAAACCGGGCCACACTTTAAAGCCAAGGGTGTGCGTATCTGTGTCCGTGTCGGAAAATAGAGAGAGAGATACATTGAGCGTGAGCGAGAGAGAGAGAGAGAGCGAGCTGGCGAAGCGCGACTGTGTGTAATTGGAAACCGAAAGTGAAAACGCCCAGGCCTTGAAATTCTCGACAGGGGCCGCACAGATATGAACTCGGAATTTGTTTACCAAGGGGTGGTAGCTGCCAACCCCACAGGGATCGCAATTTTTAAATTAAGCTATTAGAATATCAACACTTTGTTAAAATTAATTATATGGAATCCATAATAATTTAAATTGATTTGTCTGATTTAGAGTGAAAAAAGATTTCAGAAGGAATATGACACTGGCTATGTTAACTACGCCTTATTAACCCATTTATCAAAAAGTTACCCATAGTATTTCATAAATTATAAATTATTTAAGGAACTCTTTTTTTGCTTTAACTTCAAATATAGAATGAAAGGCAAAACTCTAGGATTTTACTTTTAGCGTTAGGAAACAAAATAAAGAAATAAAATAAAAAAGCAAAACAAATAAAAGTTATTCAAATGTTGTTTTTGCTCATTTTCATATTTGAGTGGTTGGTCTAACACTAAACTTGTAACCAAGGTAAAAAGGGCAATTGCAACTTATTTCTGGACCTGTAAAGAAAGACCTTACTTCAGTCTTATTTTGTTTTCACTCGGTAAGACAACGAGCCAAGACTTAAAACCCGTTCATAAAATCAATTGGGCAAAAAAAAAATAATTTTTAAATTCCATTAATCAAGCTGGTGGGAGCTAAGTAGACACGAGGCAGCATAAATTTAATGCCGCTTACAAAGGCATTACGTTCGAATAGAGCTGCAAGCGACGAGGCAAAAGTAAAGGCATTGCAAAGCACCAATACCGAAACCCAGCCCACTTTGTCCTGGCAAATTTGTGCTGCATAAACTGATTAAGTGACTTCAGGTTCAGGTTCACGAGGAGGCTCCACGAGGAGGCGGCTCATGCAAAGCATCCAACAAAGCGCTGGGAACAGCCAGATGGCATTGACGGGCAACAAAGACATACTCTATACCATATCGTATTTGTGTATACTGCTGCTCGCAGAGCAAGTGCTGGCAGGTGAAACGAAATCCCTTTTCCATGGATGCGAGTGCGGGGTAGTAAAGCCCTCTTTCCACACACCACAACCCGATGCCGGGGATCCACTGCAAGTGCAAAGGAAACCAGGACAGCAAAGTACCAGAAATGGAGCAACTGCGATTGCTTTTAAGGAGCTTATGTCTTTTGGTCAATAAATGCGGGTAACTCGCTGGCAAACAACAGTTGCCGTTTATTGCGCAGCGCAGAACGAATTTTGCGGGAATGACTCTCAGCCGAATGGGTCTGCTGTTCGACAAACACATAAGTAGTGTAATTGACAATTTAATTAAAAAATTAACTGACAATACAGCCCAGTAGCCCGTAGAAGATTGCTGAACAACCATAGCTTGCAGTGGTTATAAATGAAACTTCTCTTGCGATATGGTACAGCAAGTATTTTAATGGAATGTTGCGATTCTACAAAAATTGTTTCATGCCTTTTATTGGTATGAAGTTTATTTACATTACATATATCACGAAGTCGCCAAAAAAAAAGAAAATGCTCTTAATATTTCACTATAGCTTTCGAAACACTTAAAAAAGGATCAAAGCTTAGTAGTAGTAGCAAAATCAAACGAAAGATGATGACAACTATTTAGCTTGCTTAGCTTCTTATTTATTATAGTTCGTTTTTTTGGTACCAACACATTTTTCCCATTATTTGCCTAAAAAGAACACCTAATATACAAAATAATCAACAAATTGTGAAAATAACGTATTATCAGGGAACTATTACCTAAAATATAAGTTAAACCCAGGCAATGGTCTATTGAATGTATAGGTAATGTTTTCGCGGTATAGCTAAGAAATACAAATATTCGGTGTTTGGCGATGTTTTTAATTATGTATATAATTAATAATTGGAATTAATATATACTCTTAGCTATGCCGCGGAACCCTTAGGTGATGGAACATAAACGGGGAAAAGTTCAAATGGCTATCAAAAATTTTAAACATTTCGGTTTTGAGTTCATGTTTACTAACTTAAAAATAAATAATCAAACCTAATATGTTTTTCACTCCGGAACTATTAAATACATCACCCATACGCCGTGTCGTACGAGCCACTTCGGCTCCCCGTTGGGCGCTACTTAAAATCAAATTAAGATAATTAAATCGCCCTCGTGCAGCCTGAATAGATTTCAATTTGGGTCACACAGTTACTTGCATGGGAAGCCGTTGGGAGCTTTCCCACCTCCAGCAGCTCCGACACCTCTGGCACCCAAGGGATTGGGTGGATACCCCCACTGTCCCTACTTGACTCCCGCCGCAATTTCTCTTCAACGCGCGCGGCAGCTGCGTCCTGTAAAATTTTTGGGGCTCAGCAAGTGTTCAAACTGTACTAAGTACTGTTTATTTACTTGCCGCCCGTTTGAATAGTGGCAGAGCGCATTATTACCGATTATCACCAAGCGGAGCAGATGCTGCCGCCCCATCCGGAGTCGCAGTGGGTTGCGTTGCCAAATAAACATGGACACCGATGACAGGGGTGATGGGTGGTGGGTGGTGGGTAGTGGGTGGAATGATAACCTACTAACACAAGCGCACCATTGAGAGGGAGATAAAAAAGCTCGGGTGAAAGTTTGGAAGATGAGTGAAAGCAGCCGCGCTGCCTGTCATCTGTTGGCGGTTTGTTGTTCTTGCCGTAGGACGTTGAAGGACACGACCAGGAGCAGGAGCAGCATCACCGCCTGCGTCTGGCGCTCGAGTGTTGTCCTAGTCCTAGCCGAAAGCTCTCGGGTGTCGGAGCTCGGATTCCAAGCTTCGTCCGCTCGGCACGGCTCGTCAGTCGAGTTTCGGCCGTCTAACCCAGCAGAGGTGTGCAGCGGACAGCGATAGAAAAACACAACCACCGCAGCAGCAGCAGCAGCAGGAGCAGGAGAAGCAGCAGCAGCAGACTAAATAATTACGGCCACAAAGGAACTGAACAGAAGTCCTCGTTGCCTCGTTGACGAACCCACTGGACGAACCATCTGCAACTGCTTTTACGACTGCCACAACTGCCATGTGGGACTACTGACTACAGACTGACAGCAGACCCTCCGCCTGCTCGTTCATCACACACCGCTGCCGCAACCAGTCCATGTCCGTTGTCCGTTGTCCGTTGTCCGTGGTCCACTCGCAGGACGCGGAATTGGGGTGTCAGAATCCCCAGCGACTGAGCAGCGCGAAAGTAGGCAACGAGCATTGGAAATCTAATTAGCGACGTCAGTGTCAGGATCGCAAATCCATTAATTTTGAGGCGCCAACAACTTCTCGGCCAAAAAGGCGTTGCTGCAGCCAAAAAAAAACAAAAAAAAAAGGAAAAAACGGAAAACAGGAAAGCAGGAAAATCGGGAAAATTTAGCGCAGAAAAAAGGGAAAGCACTTTCGTTTCAGTGTGTCGGTGTGCGTGCGCGAGTGTGTGTGTGTGTGTGTGGGTGCTGATAACGCGAGCCTGGCGCTGACATCACTTTCACTAGGGAAAACCAACTCGGGAAGCTGCCAATCGAGCCGCACGGCAACAAAATCAATTAAACTACCCATACGACAACCGCCACAACAACAACGCTGCCAAGAGCCAATTATCGGGGAAAAGTAACCAAGAGACGCCACCAGATCAGACCAGACCAGCCAAGATGTTCTCCATGTGCACCAAGGTGAAATCACGGAGTGCGGATGCGGATAGCTCGTTCATGCAGCAGTCGCAGCAGTTGCAACTGCAACAGCCTCAGGCGATGGGTGAGTAGGGAGTAGGGAAAGTGGGGAGAAAGTGAAACTGCGACTTCGACTGCGACTGAAACTGAAACTGCGCCCCCGAATGGCAGTCGGTGTGGCCTCATTTGGCGGAAAACCCTTGAACTCGTTTTTGCTGCCCCACCCCAGATGCCCCGCCCTCTACCCCCTCTACGCCCCCTCCGCCCTCCCGGCTGCTTATTTTTCTCAATGAATTCGCACACAGGCGCAGCTGCGGGTCTGTCTGATACTTTCTCTTTCGCTTTCACATCCCCCACATTCTGGCCCACACCAGCGTTCAACTTATCAAGCGGAATCCAGGATGCGGTTTCATTATGCTGCAATTGTTGACAGTGCCACGCCCATTGCCCAGCACATGCCCATGTGTGTGTGTGTGTGTGCTGTGTATTAAGTCATTAAGCAGAGGCTACACAGCCCCATGCGAGTATCACGGTAAATACGGCATGGGCGCATCTGTGTATTTGCCAGCGAACCAGCTGGAAATGAGTTGAGCCTGGCTTCTGGTTACAGCTGCTGATGCAGTGCGTCTCCTGCATAAATCATGTGGCTGCACTCGCAAGAAAATTCGGCAAAACCCAAAGAAAAACATGATCAAATTAAGGGGGGCAATGGTTTTCTTGCTGTAATTCCCAACTGGTTCTAGCAATACAACAAATTTATTTTAAAATTGATGATAGAGAATTTTAATTAATTGCAAACTTAATATGAATCAAAGAATAACAATGTGTAATGAAAATTAGTTTTTAAAACTAATGAGAAGTAGCCCAAATCCATTCTGCATTAATTTTATAATTCTATGTAGTGGTAGAGACAGTATTGTAAAGTACATCATAGCGTTATTTTCCAGTTTCAAAGAATTAAAGACCTTTGACAAGGGCGATTTTAGGTAATTTTTTTCGACTGTGTACATACATACATACAAATATATATCCCAGCCCTTTATCCACTCTCATATCTAGCCAGGCCAGCAATTATGTCTGTACACGTTTGTAGTTGTCGTTGTCGTTGTCGTTGTCTTCGCCTTCCGATTCGTCTTTGTCCCAGTGCAAACGGAGATTCGAGGATGGGGCTGGGTTCGTTGTCTGTGGCGCAGCCACTTGCAATTCTAGCTGATTTGTCATGTGGATGTGGATGTAAGGATGTGTGTGTGTGTGTGTGGGCATGGCTGCATGGGGGTGTGTGCGTGCACTGAAGTGGCACACATGATGTCCGCTGCCTTGCGTTCTTATACAAGCGAGGTAGTGTCCTTCGACGAGCTCGTTCTCTCATCAACCCCCAATGCAACATATATCCAGCCACCAGCCCCCAGCCTCAAGTCGCCAGTTCCCGAGCTCATCCTTTCATCATCTCCGTCGACACTTGGACTGCGTCTGTCGTCGTCGTTTGGTCACTGGGTACACTTACAACGGGCTTTGCAAGTTAAAGAATGTTGCCCAAAGCTGAGAGAAAAAATGTACACTTACTTTAGTTAGGGTTGTTTACCCCAAATGATTTAACCTATTTTTATTACGTAACAGAAATAAGCAGACTTAGCATTATTTATTATCAAAGATAATACCCACTCTTTACATAAATGTAAAGTAATTTAGTTTTAAATACTTTTAAATAATCTTAGCTTATGTCAAATCCATTGAGGAATTCAATTAGGGATTAAAAAAATCCTGAAGAATTCTTCTAATGATTTCATATTTAAATATCTTCTGACACATGTCAACTACAAATCTACAAATTGTTTTCTGCTTTCCACAATAGTAAGGATGTATTAGTCAAGCAGTATCTTGTTTTAGAAAGTGATAAATAAAGTGATACCAATTAAGCACAATACATTGTTTAAGGTTTTGTACCGGACTTTATAAGCTTAAATATTTATATGGCAATGTCAATTGTGCAGTTCAACTCTTTTTTTTCTTTGTGTAAAAATATTAAAGAGGACACAGCAAAAAGCCGAGTTAACCCAACAATTTTGAGGCCAAGCGGCGTTTTTTTACCACGCCGAGCTTCAAGCGATTTTCAAATGCTGTGCAAGCTCATCGCAACCCATTCTCAGCCGCTGCCATTTGTCACCAGCCACTTTGGTCGTAATCAGTTTGCTGCAAAAGCAACTTTTTCCATTGGTCGAGTGTGGCAACGAATGTCAAAGGGGTTCTTCAGTTCAAATAACAAGAATTTTTCTCTGTCAATTTCTCGGAATATAAAAGTCCTGATGGCTAGGTAATACTGAGAAATGAAAATTAAGGCCAATGCCATTCTTGTGCTAATTTGTTGTATTTTATTTAGTATTTAATGAATGAAAATTGTATTATAAGTCGTTATTATAAATAATTAATTAAAAATAATAATTCAGCATTCTAAAAGCTTTACTTGATTTAAGTTTCATAATCAAAAAGGTTGTACTTGAACAGCTTATCTTTTGACCAATATATAAATTCTTCAGAATTATAAATGTGCTTTTATAATTTTATTTGGAATTTATAAACACAGCATATAACAAAAATATCATTTATTTTCATCAACTACTTAGTTACTCTATAGCTATCTATAAAAAAAAAAAAGTAAAAAATTTTTGCTCGCCGATATAATTTGACCAGTTTTTCTAAAGTTCTTCAATTTTTTGGCAGTTCAGAACTACGCTCGTAATTTTATATAAATCGGAAAACGATATCATATAGCTGCCATAGCAACTATCGATATATCTATTTATTTGTTTGTATTTTCCAATCTATACTTTTCAAACCATCTTCGAATAAGGAAATAATTGAGGATTATATATCAAATTACAAGGCATTATTTCAAGTCTTAATTAAATTTCAACGAATGCCTCACAAATTCGATGGAAGTGGTCAGAGTAAGGCAAGGTGTGAAACGGCTTTGGATCAGGTATATACCTATTTATGACCGTTGCCTTGGCCATCTTTATGGAAATAATTAATTCAGTGCACCGCAAGCATCGTGTTTGCCACTGGCCCAAATCCGGCTGCAGTCCGTCCCCCCCTCCCCGTGTCCCCGTCTCTCGACTCTCGACACTTGACCAAATAAATGGGATGCCAGTGGTAATGAATTTGAAACGAGAGACCAGGCCAGCAGGGCAACTGCAGCGGCTGATTGAGCTGCTGCGGCTGCAATTCCGAGGGAATTGCTAAATGAAATTCCGTGTTTCGTTTTACGCCATTCGTTATCCGACGTAACCAGTCGCTTCACACCTCCGCCGCACCTGGATTCGCTTACAGTTGAAATTTGCAGCTCCAGTTTCGGTGCGTGGGCATTGGCCGTTTGCCTTTGGCCGTTTGCCGATTGGCGGATGGCGGATGGAGGAATGCGGATGGAGGATTGCGGATGGAGGATGGCGGATGGAGTATGGTGGATGGCGGATGGCGAATATCAGACATCGGATGAATAGGGAACAAGTCCTTGAAAGGGAAATGGGCTTCGGGGCTGCAGTGCCGGATTCCTGTTCAATTAGTGGCATCGTGGGACTGGGCTTTGGCCACAACTATGTGATGCACTTAAAACTGGGAGCTGGGCAGCGGATGCGGACTAGATGAGTTTCGCAGGAAGACATGCCAAATCTTAGCACTCATCCCCCAATTCGTTTACTTTATTTACAGGAACTGGCGGCAAACAAATCAAGGGCGGCTATCTGCTGCGCTATAAAAGTAAGTATACACCATAACTACTGATTTTAAGTTGTTCAAGAGCTATCAACTATTAAAAAACTCAAATCAATAAATAAATATAGTGGTAAATTTAGGCTATTCCACTTTAGTTCATTTTATATCATGAAGGTGTATGTAATTAAAGAATTGTTTAAATGGGTTGTTTATATATGTTGTCGAATCATTTTAATTGCAGTAAGCTGTATTCCTATATAAATTTTCTAAGCAAATACTTTTTTCTACTACTTGGGTTCCCAATTGACCGCTTTTGTATACTCATATGGGGCAAATTAAAATTACAATTTCAAAAATGTAAAACGTCTTCAATGTTCTTACCTAGTTAGTTTATTCCAAATTAGTTTTTTATGTTTTGGAATTTAACTTTGTTTTGGGAACATTTCTCATTCCCTGGCGAACCTAATAAGTACCCATTCATGTGCAAGAGAAATAGTTGCTGGGCGGGCAATTGCCGGACCCCACAATGCAGCGTCCTTGAAAGGACGGTCCGATTCAGACCTTTTCCTCGGGCTGTCAGCACGGCAGGCTCGGTCCGTCAAGGGACGAACCAAAAACCTCTCAGGAGAGACGACAATCTGTCAAATCAGCACAACAGTTACAGTCCTCCCAGCCAGGCTCAACAGGATGACGCAGCATCCATGGACGACGAGGTAGATGGATGAGGATTAGGATGAGGATGAAGACGGGGACACTGCGGTCTTTCGAACGGGGAGAATGGGGCATAATCATTTCGGGGTCACATTCAAGTGTAATTACTCATGATTTGGCAGCGCTGTGGATGCGTCATTGTCATGCTTGCCGGGCCGGATTGAAAATCATGGCCTAAACAATTTGTGTTGAGCCCTTGCCGCAAATTACTGTAGAATATATAAAAAGCTAGACTCATAAATGCAATGAAAAGTTTAGCCAACTCAGTAATCCAACATGTGCAAATTAATACTCGATTTCAAGGAAAATGTACATATTTTAATTAAATTTAAAATAAACTTATAATATTCGTATGAAAAACCCTACTTCCTTTACTTGCGGTTTTTTTAAAAATCCCTTTACGAAAGCTATAGTTTAAACAGAAAACATTTACATTCCAAACTAAAATATACCCAAATATTCATTATGTTTAAAAAGCTAAAACGAAATTATGAAAGTTTGGATATTATAAAAAGCTTATAAAAACTTTTGAAAGGCTATTGAAGTAAAATTATAATTTTTTGCAATACAAGATTAATTCAACGAAATGTATAATAAAATAAGATTTTTACAAACCTGTTTTCCTGGCCTTTTGTTCCCGCAGAGCAAATGTTCTGGAACCGCTGGGCGGAGGAGTGGGTAGTGCTGTACGACGACTCGACCATGGCCTGGTTCACGGAGCCGGGACGCTCCTCGCCGACGGGCAAGATCCTGGTGAAGGAGGCGCCCGAGATGCTGGCCATCGCCCACTGGACCGGCCAGATTCCGCGTCGTCCGCCGCTGCCGGCGGGCGTGAACGTGTCCCAGCTGATTGCCCTCGGGTCGCAGCGCAAGCGGTCAAAGGTCTACTGGATGCTGGCCAAGTCGGAGCAGGAGGTGAGCGACTGGATCGATGCCATTACCAAGACCCTGCCGCCGCCGCCGCAAATCGAGCTGGTGGTGGACAAGCCGCACCTGATGAACGTGCTCCGACGTCCGCTGGTGCGCATTAGACGTGAGTAAATTCCCCTCAAAACATTCATAATCCATCTGTTTAAGTTTCCCTGGGGAAGATGAAGCATTTCACCCAAACCCCTTCGAACTCGGCAATCTTTTAACTTTATTTAAAGGAAAATTGTGAAAATATTTATGCACAACACATAAAGATTTAATTTTTTTCTTTTTTATTTTATTTAAAGCATAAATATTTTCTTTAAAAAATAATAAACATTTTAAATGAAAAATGTGAAATAAAAGGCAAGCCGAGTTCATTTAGGGAGATATAATAGTTTTTGAATAGAATGTTGAACCGAAAGGAGGTGTGTGATTTGGCCATCCGTTATGCCTTTAAGCTGTAAAACTCTTTATATAGAAATTCCTTAAATTGCTAGTGTAGAACATGGTGGTCAAAGTTATAAAGAGAGTATTACAAATAAGATAGAAAAACATACTGGTCCGTCAAAAGAATTACTCTTTGGAGTAATTTATGAAGTAAATAAATGTATATTTAGCAACTCATTGGAAAATCAATAAACAAATACATATAGTGGTATATATCTGCAAGGTGAACACTGTACATGTTCTATAAAAAAAAACTTTAAGAAGGTTAAAAGTTGATTTTTAGCTTTAAAAATTCTTACAAATACAAATACAGCTATAGCTGCAGCGGCTTTCGGCTGGCTTTTATTTCATTTATAGATCATAAGTGCTCTGCTACTTAATATTAAAAATAAAGAATTAAACATATTTCTTTCAAATAACACCTAATTGTCTAATGTATTGGTAGGCTAGAATCGAGTTCTTAGATAAAGCAAGTATCCTGAAGCTTACTAGCAACAATAGTTTAAGTTTATCAAGGTCTAAAAGATGCAGAGCATTGCCGTTTTTTTATAAAAGTGAGAGCGATTAACAGGTTGTTGGGTTAGAGAGGAGAACCAGCTTGAAATTATTATATTTTTGTTTATATGTTATTAACCAATTTTGTGAATTTCGGTTTTCAATTTGTGCAGCTGCCACCCAGTCGGAGGTGAAGCAGCGCAAGGCGGCGTCCCACGGAGCCAGCGGCAGTAAACACCACCGCTGCTCCTCGGCGATGACCACGAAGCTGTACAGGCAGACCCAGGATCCGCTGGTGAAGAGCGACGCGGCGGTGGCCATTCTCAGCAAGAAGCCGGACTCGAAGGCCTCGCTGGCCTGCGCCCTGCCCTGGGGCCACGGCTGGGGATGGGCCACGCTGCCCAACGGGGTGTGGAGTGGCGGACTGACCTGGTCGCAGTGCGAGGACACCTTCACCCTGCACGCCCTGCCCACCACCCACTGCACCAACCTCATCGACACCTCCTGCAGCGGGGCCGTCTACCACACGGACATCGGCGGCTTTGACTTCCACTCCTCGGGCGTGGACGACATCGGTGGCGAGGACTTCGACTACGCCATGGACTGCGGCGACTTCATATTCTAAGCTCTGAACACTGAACTCTAAGCCCTCCAGCACGACATTCAACCAGCCACCCACCCGGCGGGCAGGACTCGTTCGTCCCGATCCGCAGATTTTGTCTACGATTCCAAGGAGCTGAGCAACTGGTAGCCGCTTGGGTAGCATTTAATATTTAAACGTGCTTTCGTTAACCTCTGAGTGTTAGGTTAGGTGTTAGGTGTTGCCGGAAAGGAAGTGGAACGAACTCCCTAGCGTAGCGTATACGCCCCATTGTCCTTGCCACTTTCCAGATCACTATCCCGCTGTGCCCATTAGCTTGTTTGGCTTTGTGTATTGCCCCAACTGCGTTAAGCAGTTAAAGTGCAAGCACATCAAAAGTTGACCCATTTCCCTCAGTGTGCTAAAATATATATGTCTACATAGCTGCGGCCAATGAAATAGTTGTGGCATCTTGTAACATTGCATCGTGAGTTCTGCCAAATGGTTAAGCAAACTGGCTGTCTATTAAGCACCCTTTACCTTGCTATTACAAAGAAATGTCAGAAAAAAATTCCGGTAATTAAAAGTCTTTGCAGATATATTTATATTGAAATTTTAACGATGTCAACTTTTTTACCCAGCAAATTAAAATTTAATTTTGTTAAATATTTGTTAAGAAAATCAGGGTATTAGAATTTTTTTTAGTCAAAACTATTTGACAAACTAAAGAAATTATGTGTGCCCACAACCGGAAACTCCTTTGTTAAAGTGACCATAAACACAATTGATTGCAATGAGGTTTTAAAAAATCGTTTTTTGGGTGCCACAATTATAGTGACCGCCGCTGTAGTCGTATTTCAAATTCTGGCAGATACACGTGTGTCTATTTATCCACCAATATATGTATGTTAGGCCGCACACTCGACTTCAACCGACACCCACAACCCACAACCCACTAACCACCAAACACCAACCACAGCCATCGCAGTCGCAGTTGCAACCACAAGCATTGGAAATGCGAAAACATTTTTGCATTGCGCATATAAGTAGGCTACAACATATTTTTGCACTCGACAAGCGAACAAATTACAATAAATAATGCAGACAAGACGAAACGAAGCGACAACTAAATTAAAAACGAGAAAAAAAAAACAACCGCAAGAGATTGAAATACTTTTGTGTATTTTGAGACTTTTGAAATTTATATTGATGCAATTTGTAATGGAAACACTTTTCAAATTGTTTTGCCATGATTTTCTAGAATTTTTGAAATCGATAGTATTTAACCGCAAAGCCACTGACCCGAAAAAAACAAACCCCAAGACCCAGCGTCCCCCCGCAAGAACCCATTTTTGTGTGCAAATTTTTGAAACATTTATACAGATACAGCGCGCGTAAATTAAGCAAGTCGAAAAATCGATAAAAGTTTAATATAATTGTGTTAAGCTAAACAAAATGTGGCAAATCCAGCGCAGAATTTTAAAGTGGAGCATGGTAATTTTGATATAGCATGTTAAACAGTTATGACAGTAAACAGGACAACCAGGTAAATAACAAGTAATTAAAAGAGATAAAAACGAACTCTAGGACTCTAGTAATAAAACTCATTCACCCGCAACACACACACATACACACACACACACATAACACAACCAAAACCAAAACCAAAACCGAACCCCTAGTGTTAGTGTTAGGGCTAGCACTTAAGGCATGGCATTCGAATGTCAGTTTAGTTTAGGAAACTAACTCACTCAGATCGACATACCCACCCGTACTGATGTAAAGTTTATAAAACAAAAAACAAAATCAAGCGAAGCAACAAAACAAGTTAGCAACCCAGGAAAAATCACAGAGTATAAAGCCAAAGACGTGTGTACACATGTACGAGTAATTAGCAGTTAAGAACACATTTGAAATCACAGGCATTGCATTGCAGAACCGAAGGAAAGGTTACAACTCACAGCTCACAGCTCACATTCATCCCCACATCGATTCGATTTTGAATTTGATTTTGAGGAACTTTCGCCACAAATATGTGAGGAAGGGAAACGCCGCTACGGACACCTTGAGAAAACTGTAACTGTAACTGTAACTGTACGATTAGGCATATACTATATAGTAACTAGGTTAAGTCGGAAAAGTAATGGAGCGCCCGTTTAGTTAAATACCATATGTAAACGATAAGCGATTTATGATAAACGATAAACGATAAATGTATGTACCGTAAGATTGTGCAGGTTTTCAAAATGTTGCATGCCGCGAAAATGCATAGAGCTAGAATATAGAATCGCGAAATATTATGTAAAATACGGGTAACAGGACACACCAAGTCCACTAAGCATCTGTTGCATGTCCTTGTACGCGCGTGTATACTTATATATTACTATACTTATGTACAACAATAACCACGAGCGAAGCTACACGTAACGAAACGAAACGAAATGAATACCTTTAACCTGAGCCCACAGCCTTAGCTATCATACCCAAACACCCACCATCGCTACTAGCCCCATATTACCATAATACCTACCTAAAGCTACTATTTAGTCAGGAGACGCGTCGAACTGCAGCAGCTAGTTGGGCATCGTGGAAAAAGACATACATATAGAATTAGATAACCCGCCACGTAACGTAATTGAAATGTAGACTAAAAGACTTAAGCAATTGTCGTTTAGACGTTAAATTAGAGCGCATTGAATGTTGGCTTTTAGTTCTAGACACAGAAGCGAATCGAGAGCGATGTGTGGAGCGTTTAGGAACATATTTAAGGGTATCCGTATCCTCACCACAATGTTTTAGTCTGAAGCCTAGCCCAAATAAATCGAAATCGAACACAAAATCGTAAATTGTTAGCAAGCGAGTATAAAGTCGAGTCGAAAATGCGAAAACCAAACTAAAACCTAATGAAAAACGAAAATAAACGTAAAAGTAAAATCAACCTTGGACAATCACGCATACGCATGTAGGAAACGGGATTAAATAATGTATGTAAATTGTTTAAGCCTTGGGTCGGCAGCGAAAAAGGACCGACGATACACGTCCAGCACGGGGTCCATGTGGATGGACTCCGTGAACTCAACTAATCTAAACACACACGGAAAACACACACACACGATGCGATTCGATTGAGGGCTCCAGCCAGGCCAAGTTTCAATTAAGTGTCAATCCCCACGCTCTTCAGTTGAACCGAGAAGTATTTTTGTAAACTTTATTAAGAACACCGAGATCGCAAGTGAAACTAAAACCAAAACCAAAACGAAAACCAATACCGAAACCGAACACAAAAATATAATATAAAATTGCAAAAAGAAAAACAAAGCATGAACATGGATGTTTTAAAACCGAAATTAAGCAAAGCAAATGTAAAACAAAAGTATACTTTAGAGCAAATTTTTGTAGTATAATTGTACACGTAAATTGCATTTCCGATGTTAGCTGAACAACCGTATACACTATATAGTATTATAGTAATATAGTAATATAGTGTATGCAGACACCCACTTATAAGTGTGTTAAGTATAGCGAGCGCGAATCGAGCGAGATACTCGCACTCCAGTTTTTATTGTGCTGCGCATTTTCAGCGGGCGGCTGAACTGTGAATAGTACCTTAGGTAGCGTGGCATCGCGTGTAATGTGCCGCATTTGATGTCACCAAATTATGAAATTATGAAGTTATGAAATTGTAGATCAGAACCAGAACCAGAACCCGAACCCGAGCAAGTCATTGTGAGATGATCCGTGAGGGAGGGCGACTAGTAACCGGAAACGGAAGTGGAAGCAGGCTTCCAGACTTTCAGCCATCCGGCCATCTTGGCATGCGTTGCGTATACGCCCCGGTGGTCTCGACCGCAACTCACAATTAGGCTAGTAAGTTCGCGTTGTTTGTTATCAGTGTCGTTGATGTTGATGTTGAAATTGCCGTGTCATTGTTAAACGTATTCAAGTTGTAATCCGACGGCGTTCGGAATTAGCTGTTTTTGGGAACCAGAGAGAGAGAGACAGAGAAAGGGAGTGAGAGAGAGAGAGAGAGAGATAGAGCAGGAGGCGGCTAAGCAGGGCGGCACTCATCGACCCACGCAGAGGATTATACAAATTATACAAGCTAGCATATATACATTACATAGGTGTGCATAATACCCCCACATACATATATACATACATTGGTGTGAAGCGCTGGCAGGCGAGGCTTAAGCTCGAACCATCCCCAAACCCCAAATGTCAAGAATAAGAAGTTTTAATCCAGCAATCGGTTCGGGTGTTCCGAATCCGGCGCACAGCCTTGCCAAAGACTCTTCCAAATCCCTCGAGTTTCCCCCCCCGAACAGTAATTAACGTAGTAAACTACGTAATTCGATAGATGTGTATGTGTCTATAGATATACTTTGTAGACGTTCACTCGCCAGACGCCGCCGAGCTCAAAAAAATTCAAAATCTAACGCCAACCCACGAAGCCCAGGAAGCCATCGGCCAGAAGCCAGGAGATCTTTTCAAGTGGCCGGTTCAGGTTCAGGTTCCATCAATTCAAGCCAGGCCAAGAGCAAGTGCTGCCACTCTTCTGGCACTCAAATTGCCCAATTAATAGAGAGAGAAACCGAGTACGCTCTCAAACGGTTTCAAGACCGCAGCCCAAAACAAGCGAACAATGTATGAATAATTATTACGAAAACGATGAGCAAATAGACGCTAAGCGAACAGCAAAGAAGTCATCAAATGAATCCGCCAACGAGCGCTTAGCGAAGCTCAAATGCCCTACACAAATATAAGTTGGCTTTTAATATTAAACCCCAACATTTATTTTATTTCATTGTGTAAACTCTTGAAGAAAGATTATTGATTAAATTGATTGAAATGCTATGGCCACAAAAATTTGAAAATCTAACGAGCTCTTTAATTTAATCAATTTATTGAGCTCATTTATTTTCGGAATTGGTAAAGTTTGTACGTGTGTATAAGAACAAAAAACTGTTTGTATAAGCTACAGTGAGCAATAATTTCACAACTTTATGTTAATTATAGAAATAGAAGTATTTTAAATTGTTTAGAATGACATTTTTGATCGTATAATATTTTTGCATAAATGAATATATTGTTTAAGAGCGAATACTTAAGTATTGAGATTAACTTCGTATTCCCTATTTACAATTTATTTAAGCTTAAAAATGTTCAAGTGGTTTATTTTAAGATCCCACCCAACCGCGCTCAACTATGATTAATTATGATTCGGCGTTCGAATCGCTAAAAATACACCTTATCCAAGTTTTGATTCGATGACTTCAAAAGGGGTTGATGAAGAGTAGGAGGCGGAAAACATCTGCGAAGCGTCAGCGTTGATAAATGTAAAACAAAAGCAAATAAAGTTTAGCAACAACATCTGAGAGAAAGAAAACAAAACAAAAAAAAAAAAAAACAGCCATTTAGCGATAAATACATGTTTCTCTTCGCGTGCACGCACATATGTGTACTGCGATTTCTGGGTGAGGGCCGACATGGCGGTTCGAGGAGGTTCGAGGCTCGAGGGGAACTAGCCGATAACTTGACTCACCCGACACGCCATCATCCGCAGATCAGTTGGTGGCGGTGCAACGCTCGATGTCGCCAACTTCGCAACTTGTTCGGCCCGGTCATCGGTGCGGTGTATGGACTTGGATTTGGATTCGGTATCGGAATCGGAATCGTCGGCGAACTGGAATCTTGTCTCAGTTAGCGCGCAAACTTCTAAGCAAACAGTCGCCAGCGCGGGGCCCATCGAAAACGGACAAAACAAATAGCGACAGCAAAAGCGACAGCGACAGCAACAGCAACACAAATCGTAGCCCGAAACACTCTAGACACACGCGGCGTATGCGTAATTACATTCCATCAACAGCTGGCCAGTTGCCCACAGAGGAGTCACCGCCTATCCTTCGGTGACCCACTTCGAGGTCCGGCTTTAAAGTTCAATCCTCGTTCGAGTGCCTCCTTTGTGTGTCAATAAACTCGCGTGCCAGGAGCCCAGTGTCCACTCCCCCAATCCGCCTCCGCCCAGGTCAACAGAACCCATGCCCAAGTGCACCAGTCTGGCGGTATTTCTCTATAAAGCTGGTAAGTTCATTTCGGCAGGGTATGCAAATCGCAACTCCAAACACAAACAAAGCCGGCGCAGAGTTGGAATTAGTCAGCGCGAAACGACATGTGCCAAAAAGCCGAAAAACACATAAATTAAAGGTATTGTTTGTGGAAGCGGTGGTTATGGTAGACCCTAGACTCGGACAAAAAACCCATAAAAATGTAAACTTCCATTAAATTGTATTATTTTATTTATTTATTTAATTTGTCTATATTAAAATAAACAACATTTCAGCAACTCACACCCATGAAAAATAAATTTCATTAAGAGAACAGTAAAAATATTATATAAAAATTATTATTTATATTAAATTAAAACATAATTTTAAAGACACAAATAATATTTTATTTCTGGGTACTTTTAACCTCAGATGCTTTAAGTTCGTAGAGAGAGACTTTTGGTCTTTAAGCATTAACACTTAACTAGACAGTGCATATATTAAGTCGAATATCTACATAGCTACAAGCTCTTTGACAATCCAGCCAGTTGGGTTTCTCTGCTTTGTTCAGATGTCAGTCGGCCAAAATTCCATTTCATCGTATGAAAACATTTCAGAACATTGTATTAAATACACAAATATCGACAAATTTCAAACGTACGTTCTTACTTTTCTGCAGTTCTTTTCGGTTCAGATTTGTAGTTTTATAAATACACGCAAAGATAACCATTGGATTCCATCAAAGTTGGTACGATTTGTGGCGAGTCAAAGTGAATTCAATTGGATTGGCTTGTTCATTGATCGCGCCTTATTGGGAGCAGCCATCGGCCCACAATTGTCAGTCTGGATCTGGGTCTGGGACTTGATCTGGGCACGGTTTCATCGGCTACCACTTCCACTTCCAGATCCAGCACCCACGTACATCCACTGACGCCTCCTGGCCACAATCGTTCGCCTGTTGCTGCTGTGTGTTTTGTGTTTACTTGCTGCCAACTCGCATGACTCACCGGAGAGTCTGAGCCGGGTCTGCGGTAACCAAACACTTCGAGCCAAGCTCGGTCGCGTCACCACCTTGGCCGGAGCCCACACACGAACATCGCATCGAATCGCACCGAATTCAACCGACTCAAATTGAATACACCCTATTTGGCGATGGCGTCAATGGGTTCCGGAGAGATGAAGACCTCGAGGCTAGCGCAAATGCAGGTGAGATTTGAGAGTGATTTGAATGTTGATTCAAAAGAATCAACATTTTAAAATTATGCTGATATTTGTTTTGTTTGAGCATTGCCACTGGCGATAGCAGTAATAAACCAGTTCTCTTGATAAAAAAGTATCAAGACAGGAAATTAACAAAGTTGATAGGCGCCTTTGTATACCCTTGCAGTGGATTATATAATTTCATTTAAAAATTTGCAATGCAGACATTGTTAACCCTTTAAAGTCACTAGCATCACTAGAAGATTCCATCTAACTATGATCGTCTGTCCGTTTCTATGCAAGCCAAAAGTCTTCTTTCTATTGCACGTTGTATATAAGTAAGAGTACCGTAACTCAGCTAACAAATTTCAAACTAAATAAATCTAATAAACTTAGGATACTGTTTCGCCGGCAGAGCAGTGGCAGAGAGGCGGCAGAAGACTTAATATCTTAATGTAACTTATAAAATTATAGCTCGATTTTGAAAATGTTTGTGTCTTCCGATAGATATGACCGAAAAGTACACACAGAGTTTAATAGCTAAGGTCTTGCATGTGATAGACTTTCGCGATTTGTGGGCGTGAGCTCGATTGGAAATTAACTTGTGCTGCTAAAAAATTACTAGAATCTGCATTTCAACTCCGAAGTTTATAGATTTTATAGTTTCCGAGATCTCGACGTTCATAAAGACGAACAGACAGACGGAAATAGATAGATGGACTTGGCCAAGACTTGGACTTGGTAAAGACTTTATATAAACTATACTTTTCAACAATTACAATATACCCTTTTACTCAATGAATAACTGGTATAAAAACCTTTTTAGAACTTAATTACAAGCACAACTAGCAAGACATCAACAATTTAAACACTCCAACACAATACCATGCTTCGAATTTATTTTACAATATCTTCCTGGCCAACGATTATAATTAATTTTGACACTACTTCTGCAATACCGACATTTGTTTCATTAAAAGTTGCTCCCAATATAAGCCAGTTAGCTACTTTAATTTCCGTGATGCACCATAAATGGCCTGAGGCTTTTGGTGGAGTTCTATTTCGGGTTCTCTCGCTAAAGTTTTCCAGTGAAATGCCAGCTAATTAATTTGTATTTGCCGCTGCTCTTATTTGGCAATGGGAACTTTTGACGCCCCCGCAATGAAACAAAAAGGCGCTCCTTGACGGCCATCTGTTAGCGGCAACCAGAGGCGTCGACAGTGCAGAGGGGGGTACAACACATATCCCCCAATTAGATGTAATTAGTCTTTGCCAAACTACGTCACTGTATTAGCCACTCAATATCCAAAAAGGGTTGACATTAAGAACGCAAACATGCACGTGTGCACGGTGAGAAATCTGACAGTCATTTCAAAAACTAATTATTCCATTGCTGCACTCCAAACAATTATTGTAATTTGAACCTTGCATACTTGTTAAAATATATTTTAAAGTAACAATTTGAAGGCTTATTTTAAAGAGCTCCAAAAAGCTATGAATTTTAGAACTATTATATTTTAACATAATTTTTTGTTTATTTTTATAGATTATCTGATTGGCAAAGTTTAAATTATTATAATTTGAACCTTGCATACTTGTTAAAATATATTTAAAAGTAAAAACTTGAAGGCTTAAATCTAAGAGCTCCATAAAGTTATGAATTTTTCAACTATTTTTTTTTATAGATAATATGATTGGCAAATTCTAAATCTTAATATTATAATTTTTTTTTAATTTTTCCCAATATTATATTGGGCTTTAATGTTTTTCTCTGAGTACCAATCCACCGAACTATAATAATTCATCAATTAAAATAGTTGAGCGCGATTTTATCGCTGAAAGGAGGCATGCGGGTGAAGGACAAACCTGAGGTCCTTTGTCACCTGTGCGCCGCTCTTCCTTGGCGGCATTCAACAATTGCTGCTCCTTTTGGGGGGTGGTGGGTATTGAGTGGGTGGTTGTTGGTGTTGGTGGGTCTTGGGCGGGTGTGTATATCCCCTGTATCCCATGTGGCCCGTGTCATGGCAACGTTGCAGTCATTGATTTTTTGTTGTTATTGCTGCATGCCAATAACAACAAAAACAATCGGCTGGCCAAACAAAAGGACAGCCAGCTAGGATTTCACGAGTGTCCGATATACACAAAGGACTTGCATATTTTGTGTGCCTTGTTTTGGAGCAAGTCGTCCAATGGCCATGGCTGGGTTCGAAGGCCACTACCAGGATACCAGAGACGGAAGACAAGCGCACTAAGAGGAGGCATTTCGAGGGAAATGAATGGAAGGAGCATGGCCACAACCGCGTCCACACCCACACCCACACCCACAGCCGCACTTGGTACCCATTTCCGTTCCCGGGGACAGGATAAGGTTTCCTTTGCCCAGGCGGGTCGTGTGGCAAGGGGTTTTATGTACTGGCGGCACGTAAGTGGGCACGGATTTGTTCGCAGTGGGGCTGGGGTTGTGACACCTTCCCATCGCCACAATAGACAAGCAAACAAGGCACACAGCACAAACACAAACACACAAACACACACCGAAACCCGTGCACCTAATGACTCCACTCGGGGGAAAATGGACGCGCTAATGTCCAGTTCCCGTTCGCTCAGTTGACACGCGCTCTCCGGCCCGGAATGTTGCATTCGGCGGACGGGGACGTGGACGAGGACGAAAACGGAGACTTCCTCCGGTACGAGTTCGAATCGGAGCTCGGCCAGCAGGACCACATTCTGCCCCTGAAACTGAACGAGTCCTGGGCGGCCAGGCGCCTCATGGAGGCACTGAGTCACCTGCCACCCAGTGGCAATGGCAGCACCAACTCTGCTCCAGTAAGACAATTGGGTGATATTTGGGGTATAAATAATATAGCAGATGAATAACAAAGTGAATTTAACTAATTTTAGTTTTTTTGCGTATAAATTTTTTTTAATTGAAACTTTTTGATTCAGTTTAAAACAAACAACGATTCCTTAAACTTTGATCGAATTCAGAAACTATTTTTAATCAATCTTATAATTATTATAATAATTTGATTTTTGAAACTAAATTCAAGTGTTTAAAAAAGTTATTTGATTTGAGTGAAACTAAGAGTGAGAGTATATAGATAAACTAACCTATTAAAGGGACTTTGTGCATTAAAAACATTATTTCTTTTTTAAGTATTTCAAAGTCTGTTTGGTTCAACTCGTGGTCATGTCTGGCTTTAAAATTTCTATAACACATAATTATAATAACTTTTTTCATACTTATACTAACTGAAGCTTAGACTCATAAGAATATTATTGACAGACTTCATAATCATAAAAATTGTTTAGCCTTAAGCCTAGTAGACAAAATTTTGACGGGAAAAAGACTGAAAAGATTTGATATATTTGTTCTACATTTTAGATAATCTCAATAAACTTAAATTGTGTTGCATATAATAAGAGCTCAATGGAAAACTGATATTACTGTTATTTTAGTATTAATTTACTTATTGTTAAAAGACAGCTTGTTTCCAAAAAAAAAATTTTCAAAAAATCTCTGACTTCAGACTTGATCCATAAGCTTGCATTACAAAATTAAAAAAAAACATTGTTTTTTTTACCACCAGATGCGCTTTCAGCAGCGGACCCAGCAGGAGCAGGAGGTGCGTCGGCGGGAACTAATGGGCACGAAGACGAGTGGCGAGCACTTGGCCACTGCTGCGCCCAGTGCCGCCTCCACCAGGCTGATTGGCAATGGAAAGGTGCGCCAGATGTTCGACGAGCGTCGCCGAGGAGCGGGCATAGACCGCAGCAATCCTCTCAAGCCGATCGGAGCACTGACCTCGCCGATCGCCCCAGCGAAAGCCCGCCCCCCGCAACCGATGCAGCGGCTCATCAAGGGCGTGACCGACATGAGCCTCGGGGAGCCGCCTCAAGGAGCCGCCGGCAGGCGCGTTACCAGCGACAGCAACAACAACAACAAGTACGCCACCCCAAGGAGTGTGAACCGCAGCCTGAAACCTGTGGTCACCCGGAAGACGCCGCCTGCCCCTGCCTCCGTGTCCACGCCACCGCGCAGTCCCAAGATGCCGACTTCCAGTCGGTTGACCGGAGGAACCACCTCGCAAGTCAATCGCCTGTCGCCGCCAACGATTCGACGGGTGAGTAGACGGGTCAACATGGCCCCGCATTGTCACTCAACCGATAATCTTTTCAAAATATCTATGACGTGTCCCTTCCCCATTCAGTCGGAGCCTAAATCGCCAGTTAAAAAGGTTAACATGGTAAGTACCATAGTCCAGGGGTCAGGAGTAGAGTGATCCGAACCTTTTGCCCATTCGCAGGACAACAACACAACGACGGCCCCGGAGGGCACCGCCCTGTGCCGATTCTGCGGACGCCACTTCAACACGGATCGGCTGCAGAAGCACGAGGCGGTGTGCCAGCGCATGGTGAGCACCAAGCGTAAGGTCTTCGATGCCTCCAAGCAGCGCATCGTGGGCACCGACGCCGAGAAGTTCGGCAAGAAGTCAAAGGGCAGAAGCTCGCAATCGACGTACAGCAGTGCTGCCCAGCAGAAGGGTCTGACCACCGGGGTCAAGAAGAGCAACTGGCGCAAGCAGCACGAGGAGTTCATCCAGTCGATACGGGCCGCCAAGCAGGTTCAATTGCACTTGGCGCGCGGCGGCAAGCTGAGCGATCTGCCGCCACCGCCGCCATCGGAGAATCCCGACTACATCCAGTGTCCGCACTGCAGCCGTCGATTCAACCAACAGGCCGCCGAGCGGCACATCCCCAAGTGCGCCAACATGGTGCACAATAAGCCCCGGAACGGTCCCCCGCCGAAGAAGCGCTAGTGGTTAGTGGGAATCCGGTAATCGGTAATCGGTAATAGCTGATCTCTGGTTGATAACAGTGAACATGCCCATACTTTTACTTGTGATAAAGAAGTTTGATGATTGGAACGAACCTATAGTGGCCTACAACTAGGGTGTGGGTTGTGTGTGTGTGCGTGGTATATGCTATGCTAGTCGGACAGCACCTCCACGTCGTTATCGGTGGCAGAGGGAACGGCTGGCGCGGCAGTAGATCCTCCCGATTTCTCGCGCTCAATGATGGCCTTGACCGCCTCGGCAGCCTTGTTCATCTCCAATCCCTCGAGCATGTACGCCCAGTTGTCCAGCGTGGCATCATCGTCATCGGAGATCCAGTTGGTCAGCATTTGGACGCAGGCCACGTTGGCCGTCGAGTGTTCCATTTGGAAGAAGAGCAGCTCGTCGTTGGTGAAGCCGATCTTCTTACCCACCTTCATCCAGGGCTCACCTATCAAGGGGGCCACCTCCTCGATGTGCTCTTTGGTAACCATAAGCGGCTTCTCGTGGGCTGGCACTTCGTCCACCTCCTCCACCACCGGCTCATTGTCCTCCACCTCAAGATCCTGCTCTGGCTCAGCGTCCTGAAGGGCCACAGTGGCATCCTGCTCGCCCTCCGCATGAGCATGGTTTACTGTCTCCGAAGAGTTGCTCGATAACAGAGCTGCCGGCTTGGGCTCCTTGTCCCGAATGAGACGCTTGCGCACCTGTTCCAGATAGTCGGAGATCTTGCTCGAGGGTTGAGAGAGTGAGGTAAAGAAGTGTGGTGTCTGGCGGGCTAGCAAACGCAAGGCTCGCCATTCGAAGGCGGGGTCGATCTTCTCATGCGGCGTCTCCAAATACGTCTCCAGAAGCGGCAGGAAGTTGCGCTGCTCGCTCTTGCAGGCCTGCAGGTTATCCGGAGAGTAGTTCCACAAACGGGTCAGGTTATCACTGGAAGGGCATTGCATTACTTTAATAACCTGATTGGTTTCTTGACACGTCATACTTACTTTCCCAAAAAGAACTTGCCATTGCGGGCTGCATCGCGCAATGCATCGCCCAATGGGCGTCTTGGTTTCTTGGACGGCGGTGGTTTCAAGTCCTCCTCGTTGGGTGCCGGCTCCTCCGGCTTTTTGAACTCCTTACAGCCCTCGTTCTTCCAGTTATTCCACATCTCCTCGCGCACAAGCATGTGGTGTACAGTTCGAGCAAACCGCTTGCCATAGGGCGGAGTCTCCTCTAGCAATTTGTATACGCGAGACTCTGTTTCCTTGATAAAGTCCGCCTGGTCTGCGGTTAGTGTGTAAGCATCGCTGAAAGTGCAGGCATCACATGTTATTTGTATTCACTGTGGCCCACAAGTTTCTACTCACCTTTTAAACTTTACACTAACTTGCAGGTACTGAAAGAGTATCAGAAATTGCACCAGCACAGCACGTCGGAAATTAGCATCAGAGAGCTGTAGTGCCAGTAGCTTGGGATTCGTCAGAAACTTGGCGAAGAAATGATTCGCCTTGATCACTGCCGTCACCGCCGCAGCATCAACGGCCTCTTCGTCCACCTCCATGGCTTGGCCAGCCTCGCTGGCACTGTCGCTGCCACTCTGTCGCACATCCTCCAGCTTGAAGCTCGAGAACGACTGCAGTATGTTCTCGGCGTGCTGAAAAAGAATATTATATTCATAATATTAATTATAAAAAAAATAATTATAAAAAGAATTGACCCATCCAGAAGGTACTCACCATCTGGAACATCTTCCACTGTGCCTTGTTGTAGCACTGATTGGGATTGCGAAAGAAGTCCTGCAGCGACCAGAACTTGCAGTACAGGTCGTAGTCGATCTTCAGGGGGATGTCTTCGGCAGTGTCCTCCAGCTCCTTGTTGTCGCTCTCGTCGTGGTCTTTGCTGTCCAGCCCGTACTCCGTGAAGTTGTCCAGGTTAAACTCCGAGACAATGTTCAGGCCAGAGCGCTCCGAGAAGGGGAAGAACTTGGAGAGGAAGAGCAGAATGCGGCCGCAAAAGACGGTGTTCTGGGTGCGAGAAAGGCGCCGCAGCAGATCGTTGCACATGCGCAGTATGTTGTTCTTGCACGAGGCGAAGAATATCTCCTCCTTCCACACCTCCACCAGTTCCTCGACGAACCGGAAGATCTCCTGGCACTTGTCCAGCGTGACCACGTCGAAGGTGTCGATGAGCAGTACCACCGGAATGGTGTTGGACACGATCTCGGCCCGCGTGGCATCCACGGAGAGGTGAACCAGGTCGCCAATGCGTTGTACATCGTCGTCCAGCCGATTCATCAGAAGCACCCGGAACGCGTGGTCCATGGGCAGGCGCTTGTCATGTTCGGTGTTGGCGGTGAAGCTGTTGTACTCCTTGACCAGCAGCTCCACGTTGCCGTCGGTAATCGCCTTTTCCAGGGCTTTCTGCAATTTAAAATTTGGGACCCCATCATTGCCGGTTTCGATGCTCTTTGATGCACCATTTCTTACCTCAAACGCAGTCTGCAGCGCAAAGTAGTTGGCCAACTTGCCTGAAGCCTTGCTGGCCACATCTACAGCGGTGCTCATTTTGTTCAAAACAGTAAGTGCGGATACAACAGCAGTAAATTGGTAAATTGATGTTGTTTTTAACTAAAACAACATGGCCAGTGCTGTTGGCTGTCTTTGTTAATTTCCAGTGTTGGACACTGCTCCCTTAATAGTAACAAAAAATACTTTACTATCGATATAAATTCGATTTTTAATGCGGCGGGAAATTCAAAACAAAAGAAATTCAAAAAATTCAAAGAAATAATTAAATAATTAAGTTTTAGTAAATACAAGTTCCTAATGCTTTAAGCCGAAGGATACAGGCACCAAAATGATTACAAATATTACATTTTAAGGGGTTTTACTTTTAAGAATATGAACAACAAAGCAAAAGTTTGGCGACCTACGAATTAAAAACACATACAATTATAATTTGCAAGGCCGAATGAATTGTTCTTATCAACAGCGAGGCACGCAAAACTGCTATCAGCTTCTCAGGCAAATCAGAATAGGTTTGAGATTTCAATTACTTTCCCACTTTTCCACAAGGTTGCGGAAGTGTCGTAAGTAGGCCAGCCGAATCCAATGCAAATCGCTTAAGCTGTTATTCCGAATCTTAATCTCGGACGGAGTAGAAATGCGCAAGACGATCTACTATGTGCTGCTGTGGGTTCTGGCGCTCAAGTGTTTTAGCTGCCAGTCTGGGGTTTACCAACTATTCCCGGGCTATAATTATCCGCCTGCTGCTGCTCCTGCGCGGCCATCGTATTCCGGCTACTACAACAGCGGCTACAGGCCACCGCAGCAAGCCAGACAACGAAAACCTGAGCGATCTTACAAAGAAATCTGTCAAGTGGTAAACTCAAACGGGTTCACAAACCCGAGCGGAGTGCCGAAATGTTTTTAGACTAGTAAGCACAAACTTATTGTAAATTATCTTGATTAGTTAAAATAAAAATAAGGTGTTTTTTATACAATCAAATCTGCATTTACCATTTGAAAATGTTATAAATTAAATATAACCTGGTCTGCCCAAGTGTACTCACTAACTCGCACTGTATTTTATACAATCAAAAACACTTGTATATGCCAACCAACTTGGATAATTCACTAAACATTTTAAATAGAAGCGGTGCTTACAAGTTATGGTCATGTGCTAGGCTTAAAATAGCTAAATTCTAGACAACAAAAGCGAAGATCTTAAGCTAGGCAGGAAAATTGGGTCCATTCACGGGCTCTAGAAAAGCCGCTTCTGGACAATGTAAAAGACACATGCAAGAAACAGGCAGAAGGCGAAGAATAGCAGCATCTTGTCGGTGCACTCGCGTCGTCCGTACTTCTTGAGCAGCTTGCCGGACATGGTTATGCTGCCGGCCGTGTTCTGCAACTCGTCGCTGGTGGCCTCCACATTCTGGGACGACGCCACCAGCGTCTCCAGGGTGACGGCACTCTTCTGGGTGGTCTCCGAGAGGTGCCGCGATATGGCCAGCATCTTCTCGGTCACGTCGTTCTCCTGGGAGACCAGGCTGCCCTGGTTGTGGCGCGCCCGTGCCGTCGAACGCTGGCGCAGCTCGCTCTCGCCGGTAATGGCCATCAGCTCCTCCCGGTTGGCCTTCTCGATCTCCAGCATCGTGGACACGTTGGCCTTCCGGAAGGCCTGCAGCGTCTTGGAAAATTGGTCGCGGTGGTTGTCCACTTCCTTGGCCAGCGCCGCGTCCCCAGTGTCTCGAGCCCAGTCGTCCAGGCGCTCGATGCTCCTTCTGATGGCCGACAGCTTGGAGCGTCCCGCTTCGTTCAGCTCCTCCAGTTCGGCGATGGATGTGCGGCTGTTCAGGATGTCCTGAAATAGGCAGCTCGGACTTCAGATTCCCCTTGCAGCCGGCGAACGCTCACCTGTATGATCGCCTTGGCCTGCAGGTTGTTGTCGATTAGGTCCTGCCGGATGGACTGCAGAGTGAATGTGTCCTTGTCCATGACTCCAGCGAATTGTGTTTGTTTTGTTTTAATAAAAACAATTGATATTCCTTGGCTCTGGTGACGTGCCGTGCATTGACCAACACTAGAACGGCAAGGTATTTATCGATTGACTTCAATTCGTTTAAATTCTATCGAAATAAAATAATACAGTATTCACACATACGCCCAAAAACTTATTCACACAGGCGGCATTTCTAATTCAGCGACCGTATTCCGCAACAGAGTCTTTATCTTGCAAGTACATGTGATCTGCAATGCAATGGCTTTAAATGTTCTGAAGTGAACAAACGATGATTATATAATTGATAAAGGAGGTATTGGGTGTAAAAATAGTACGCTACCTTTTCTTGATATCGATAAGAATGAACAGAGTGTAGGCAAAACAAAAATAAAAAACAAACAAACAAATTAATGCGTAACGCTTGATCTATAATTACTGATTCATTAGTGATCAGTGATCATTTACTCATTGCTGATGACAAATGGCATTTTATTAACATTTCCATAAGTTAAATGAAGCACATGGAACATACTTATTATGGAAGATGCAGGCGCAGTAGCAAAATAGCGTCTTCGCATACGCCACCCGGAGGACATGGTTCCTATAGAACCACCTGATGATTGACAATCTATGACAAACTATATACTGTCTCAGAAATCGAGCAGCTACTACCTGAATTTTTAGTATCTTTGGAAAATTCCTTCATATATTTTGCGAACAAGGATACTCTTGTGTGGCGTTGGCTACTTATTAATAAATAAAAAAAATGTGCGGTGTTTTATTACTTGTTTTATTTGAATTTTTTTTATGATTTTAAAATTGTAACACTTTACCGCATATGACTTGCCATCCCAAGGATATAGAAAAATACTGCGCCTATCGATACAACGTTGTTTGGCCGGCATTAGTGGCAAGTTCCACCCCTAAATAAGACTTGTGGCCGCTTAATTTGCAGCACATTGGCTTCTACTTTAATTTCCTCAACACAAATGGTAAACATTCAGTAGGACCTGCCATTCTTTTCATATTGGCTCTAATTTTACCTCGAAGCATGTCAGATAATTCGACTTTCAGATCTCTAGTAAGTTCTTTCACAGACCCCATCGCGGCTATTCAGATTTAACATGTTCTATTCAACAGAGCTCAACTGAAGAATATTCATTTTTTTCGGATAACGACACTAGATCTGTCTCCAGTCCTAGCTCCGTCTTCAGTGTATTTTCCAACGATAGCTTGCTGTCCACGACGGAGCTATACCCCACAGACATGAGCCACAATGAATCCCAATCCTCTTCGTTTGACGGTATCAGATCACTCTCCGCGAATGTGGCCCAGATGGAAGCCGAGCTAGATAGCCGTAGGTCCAGGATTGGCTTAAGTGCATATAGGACATCCAGTAACTAGTTTTCTCTTTCAGTCAATCGCTATTGCGAGGAGGTTGTGGCCCACATTGTCAACGACAACTCTCCCACGCTCAGCTCAACGCCAACGATCGTGCGTGGTAACCGCCGCAGGAGTGACAGTAAGTGGAAGTCAAGTCCAAATCCCATATCCCCATGTTTTATTAAATGCTGATTCCAATTTCTTTAGTAAGCCCAGTGGAAGTGATAGATCTGTCCCATCTGGAGTTGATACCACGCATCCGATCCGCCCGGAATCGTGCTCCCGACGCTGTGATTGACTTGTGCACGCCTGATAGACCAATAAGTCGTCCATTAAACTTCCCATCCGATGACTCTTATACCGGTCCCCGTCGTCGCCGCACCTTCGCTCAGTCGTCCGCAAGTTCTCAAGTGGTGGATGTCGAGGATGTGTCGCCACCGAAACGCATCCAACCCGATCCGAACGTGTCCCAGAAGGAGGACTCCTACAAGTGTCCGGTCTGCATGGACAGTGTGATCAAGCGCGAGCCGGTGGCAACCAAATGTGGACATGTCTTCTGCCGAGAATGCATCCAAACTGCCATTAGTGCTACGCACAAGTGCCCGATGTGTAACAAAAAGCTAACAATCCGTCAATTTTCTCGTATTTATTTGTAAGATCCTTATTTTGTGTTATGTTGGAATTGCTCTGCGAGCCACGTTTAAATTTATGTTTCTATATACAAGTATTTTTAGTTGTCTTAAGTTATGAATTAATAGAAAAAGTTAAAGACGGCCTAGAATGCCTGGTCTTGTGATTTATATACTAGATTTTGCGGTATTTATTTTTTTCATTTATAAAATTATTAATACGTAGAGTTACTCAAATAAAAGCATTCCGAAATATAAATAAAACCATTGTCAGGAGAAATTAAAAAAAAAATTAAATTAAGCTTAAGACGAACTTATTGGCTGACAGCTCCTTGTTTAATGTAAATATGGTTAAATAAAGTTGCCAGATTTTTTTTTCTAATTTAATTTTTATTTACAATCTGTCTAATGACAACAAGTAAATTGTATGACTAATATTTACATAACAGGAATAGCAGGTTTCACTGGAAGTAGCAGATTTCCTGCTATTAATTTAATTTCTCGTTTACTTAAATTTACCTATCAGGGAGATCAAGAATGTGGAATCTAAAGTTGCCAGATGTCTGCAATTATTATTATTGTAGGGTTGCTGCCTAAAAATTGAAAGCTGTTTGTTGATGGTAACTCTTCTCTTTTTATTCTGACATACATACGTCAGATGTGAACTGTCAAAATTTCCCAAGCAGAGGACCGACAACGATACGTCTAATAATTAAAAAAAAAAAAACATGAGTGAAAATCAGGAACAAGGTGCGGGATTAGTTCCACCTTGCGTTGACTGGGATAATAACGAAGATGCAGGTACTGTTGGTGTAATATGAAATATATGTAAGCCATTACCTGCCGAAATTTTCTAGCTTCCGAGAGCTCGGAACATGAGTCGACAGCTTCTGTGGATGATCGCCCCGTGTGTTCCATTTGCGGTACTCCCTTCGACGGTCCAATAGAAATGGACCATGTGCGCACTCGCAACACCGCGCCGAGCGGTCCTGCAGATGAAAGCGTTAACCACACGCCTTCTGACCATCAGCAGTCTGTTGGGATCAACGTCAGCATAGCTATTGCCCCAGCCGGTGGACCACCAGTTACAATTGGATTTACTGGTACGTAGACTCTGTTGTCACATCAATAATCAACGTTCAACGCAATGTTGAAATTTAACATTTAATTCTTGTGCTTCATGTTTAAAGTTCTAACCTAGTGTTGTTTCTATTCAAACCCTATACATTGGTAATAGTGTAGTAATAAGAACTAAATTAGCAACTACTCTTAATATAAACATGGCCAAAGTAGTTTTAAGTTATATTGTTAAGTTATATTTTAATATGTGTGTAACCCTGGATATATTTTGGGTGTGCTATCACTGGTTTGTAAAAGCATCAATGTGTTTTGCATCCCTAAAAAAACGCACGAACGAAAAAGAGGGATTCATTCGAAAAAGCGTGGCCGGTGCGCTCAAAAGAAAAGCTAAATGAAAGATAATTAAATTAAAGCAGAACAAAGAACACTATAATAGTAATGTAATTGCAGGATAATAATAATTAGAATAGTTTAACGTTGACTTCCATACTTGTATTTGTAATTTTATTAACTGCTTTTCATAAAATGAAACATTTTAAAATATTTACATATATATTTGCTAAAATTGTAAAAAAGTCAGATAATTTGTTAATGGTAGATTACAATGGTCGCTACAACGTTGTTTGGCCGGCATTAGTGGCAAGTTCCACCCCTAAATAAGACTTGTGGCCGCTAAATTTGCAGCACATTGGCTTCTACTTTAATTTCCACAACACAAATGGTAAACATTCAGTAGGACCTGCCATTCTTTTCATATTGGCTCTAATTTTACCTCGAAGCATGTCAGATAATTCGACTTTCAGATTTATTCAGATTTAACTTGTTCTATTCAACAGAGCTCAACTGAAGAATATTCATTTCTTTCGGATAACGACACCAGATCTGTCTCCAGTCCTAGCTCCGTCTTCAGTGTCTTTTCCAACGATAGCTTGCTGTCCACGACGGAGCTATACCCCACAGACATGAGCCACAATGAATCCCAATCCTCTTCGTTTGACGGTATCAGATCACTCTCCGCGAATGTGGCCCAGATGGAAGCCGAGCTAGATAGCCGTAGGTCCAGGATTGCCTTAAGTGCATATAGGACATCCACTAACTAGTTTATTTTTCAGTCAATCGCTATCGCAGGCTCAGCTCAACGCCAACGATCGTGCGTGGTAACCGCCGCAGGAGTGACAGTAAGTGGAAGTCAAGTCCAAATCCCATATCCCCATGTTTTTTTAAATGCTGATTCCAATTTCTTTAGTAAGCCCAGTGGAAGTGATAGATCTGTCCCATCTGGAGTTGATACCACGGATCCGATCCGCCCGGAATCGTGCTCCCGACGCTGTGATTGACTTGTGCACGCCTGATAGACCAATAAGTCGTCCATTAAACTTCCCATCCGATGACTCTTATACCGGTCCCCGTCGTCGCCGCACCTTCGCTCAGTCGTCCGCAAGTTCTCAAGTGGTGGATGTCGAGGATGTGTCGCCACCGAAACGCATCCAACCCGATCCGAACGTGTCCCAGAAGGAGGACTCCTACAAGTGTCCGGTCTGCATGGACAGTGTGATCAAGCGCGAGCCGGTGGCAACCGAATGTGGACATGTCTTCTGCCGAGAATGCATCCAAACTGCCATTAGTGTTACGCACAAGTGCCCGATGTGTAACAAAAAGCTAACAATCCGTCAATTTTCTCGTATTTATTTGTAAGATCCTTATTTTGTGTTATGTTGGAATTGCTCTGCGAGCCACTTTTAAATTTATGTTGCTATATGCAAGTATTTTTAGTTGTCTTAAGTTATGAATTAAAAGAAAAAGTAAAAGACGGCCTAGAATGCCTGGTCTTGTGATTTATATACTAGATTTTGCGGTATTTTTTTTTTTCATTTATATAATTATTAATACGTAGAGTTACTCAAATAAAAGCATTCCGAAATATAAATAAACCCATTGTCAGGAAAAATAAACAAAAAATTAAATTAAGCTTAAGACGAACTTATTGGCTGACAACTCCTTGTTTAATGTAAATATGGTTAAATAAAGTTGCCAGATTTTTTTTTTCTAATTTAATTTTTATTTACAATCTGTCTAATGACAATAAGTAAATTGTATGACTAATATTTACATACGTAACAGGAATAGCAGGTTTCCAGTTTAATTCTATCTATCAGGGAGATCAAGAATGTGAAATCTAAAGTTGCCAGATGTCTGCAATTATTATTATTGTAGGGTTGCTGCCTAAAAATTGAAAGCTTTTTGCTGATGGTAACTCTTCTCTTTTTATTCTGACATATATACGTCAGATGTGAACTGTCAGAATTTCCCAAGCAGAGGACCGACAACGATACGTCTAATAATTAAAAAAAAAAAACATGAGTGAAAATCAGGAACAAGGTGCGGGATTAGTTCCACCTTGCGTTGACTGGGATAATAACGAAGATGCAGGTACTGTTGGTGTAATATGTAATATATGTAAGCCATTACCTGCCGAAATTCTCTAGCTTCCGAGAGCTCGGAACATGAGTCGACAGCTTCTGTGGATGATCGCCCCGTGTGTGCCATTTGCGGTACTCCCTTCGACGGTCCAATGGAAATGGACCATGTGCGCACTCGCAACACCGCGCCGAGCGGTCCTGCAGATGAAAGCGTTAACCACACGCCTTCTGACCATCAGCAGTCTGTTGGGATCAACGTCAGCATAGCTATTGCCCCAGCCGGTGGACCACCAGTTACAATTGGATTTACTGGTACGTAGACTCTGTTGTCACATCAATACTCAACGTTCAACGCAATTTAAATGTCAACATTTAATACTTGTGCTTCATGTTTAAAGTTCTAACCTAGTGTTATTTCTATTCAGACCCTATAAATTGGTAATAGTGTAGTAATAAGAACTAAGTTAGCAACTACTCTTAATATAAACATGGTCAAAGTAGTTTTAAGTTATATTGTTAAGTTATATTTTAATATGTGTGTAACCCTGGATATATTTTGGGTGTGCTATCACTGGTTTGTAAAAGCATCGATGTGTTTTGCATCCCTAAAAAAACGTACGAACGAAGAAGAGGGATTCATTCGAAAAGCGAAAGAAAAGCTGAATAAAAGATAATTAAATTAAAGCAGAACAAATAACACTATGATAGTAATGTAATTGCAGAATAGAAGTAATAATTAGAATAGTTTAACGTTGGCTTCCATACATGTATTTGTAATTTTATTAACTGCTTTTCATAAAATGAAACATTTTAAAATATTTATATGTTTGCTAAAATTGCAAAAAAGTCAGATAATTTGTTAATGGTAGATTTTGATTAACATATTTTGTTTTTTTTTCAGGTGGTGAAGCGATCTCTAGTCAAACACCCGCTTCTTTTATCTTGACAAATCGCCATCCTACCAACGTCTTCGTTCAGATTCAGCCAAATGGCTTGACTGCTGGTGGGTTCTTATGTTTTCCATATACTCCATATCAAATTTGATTTATTTATTGCATTTTTTCTATCTTTTTGTTGCTGCTCCAGCTCAAGGCCAGTCAACCAGTTGCAGCGAGGTGTTCATTTCCGAAAGTGTGGTTCGTTGCCCCATTTGCCTTCTCTTGGCCACCAATCCCCGTGCCACCAGTTGTGGCCACGTCTTTTGCGAACTGTGTCTGCAACGCGCCCTCGAATATCGTAAAATTTGCCCCACTTGCGGTGTGCCTCAGGAGTATATCAATTCTCTACAAATCTTTCCATGAACATAATGTTATAAGCCTTTGTTGCCAATAAACTTGAAAATTGGCCAATATATAATTAACAAGGGAATCAACTTCGGCAAGCCGCATTTTATATACCCTTGCAGCTATTCCAAAAATGTAATATTTTTTACCACAACAATTCCCTGTATCTTTAAAAAACAATGGAAGTAAGCCAATATAGATTTTCCGGTATCGATCCGATCGTTTCTATGTCAGCTAAATGATATTGTTATTCGATTTTAAAAAAATAAAAACTGTAATTGATTTAAAATCTGCCAAGTGGGCCACATAAAACTAGAAGGTCAGATTTTTATGGAACCTTTTGTATTCTGGGTTCATAACGACAAACAAAAATATACGTTTGGGCCGATTTTGAGGATTTCAAAGTTTTACGGAAGATACAGGGGTTCAAAACGTCAATTTTGGCCACTTTTTTGAAAAATTAGCACTTACTCTTTATTTAATAACTTCTGATTGGTAGGAGCTCGTTAAGTGCATTGCAATCTTCTGACTGAAATTTGTACACCCTCTGCAGGGTTATAAATGTTACGTAATCTCCTCATTTGTGTAGACTACTTTTTAGTCTCGAAAGATTTATTTGCGGGTCCTGAATTAAAGCACAAACCGTATTCAGATCACAGTAAGCAGTAGAACCAAGCCAAAATACTCAGTTCATAAAAACTCAATCGAGAGGCTAGGAATAAAGCTCAATCGAACTAGGAATAAAGCAAAGTAAAATGAGCCAAACCAGCCAAGTTGTTCCATCGGAGGGAAGTGGTGAGGACCAGCCACGCCATGTGGACCTTCCGGTGTACCCAAAGCCACTACCAGAAAGGGACATTAGCTACAGATTTGATGAGAACCAGTTCACGACGGTGGAGAAGGCGGCTTTGCGCAACGCCTGGCGTTTGATTGAGCCCTTCCAGCGCCGATTTGGCAAGGACAATTTCTACAGGTAGCTTCCCCGATCAGAGTTCTGTGGTATCCGCATTTGCGAACTAATTATTTGTGTGGCTTAGCTTTCTGACCCAGCACGAGGACCTAATCAACTTCTTTCGGCGCGATGGCAAGATCAACCTGAGTAAGCTTCATGGACACTCCCTTGCCATGATGAAACTGATGTCCAAACTGGTCCAAACGTTGGATACTAATCTAGCCTTTAGGCTGGCTTTGGATGAAAATCTTCCCGCACATCTGAAGAACGGCATCGAACCCGAATACATGAAGGTGAGTGTTACCGAATTACCATTTGTTAAGTGGCTCCAATCTTTTGTTAAACCAATTATATACTTAAAACGAAGTATACATGAATATTTCTTAGTTACACAATTTTACCTGATCGTATCTATGGCTGATATGGGAAAAGGTTGTCCGACGATATGTTAAGTTCCAAAAATCTATATTTTACACTGCGGCAAATAATTGTATGGTCAGTATGACATAAGTAAGATATAGTCAGCCGATTTGAAGTTGTAGGTTCAAACCGTATTTATCTTAAACACTATAAAAACATCATTTAGGGCAAAAACAGCTATTTTTACTCAGTTTAAAATAAAAACAGCAAAATTTAACTTAAAAATTTAATTTTAATTTAATTTAACTTAAAAAAAAAAAAACAATTGCGAAAGATTCAAAATTCTAGTTTTTAAACTGACAAGGGCAGGAAGATTTTTTCATTATATAAAATTATCTAGAAATAAAGATTTTTTTCAGAAACCAAACCTTGCCCAAATTATTTCCTTAAAAGTTAAAACTTTTTGTAATATCAAACAAGATATAAATCTAATAAAAGGCCTTCCCTGGTTTCCCACATATTACTAATTAGATGCTGGCCAATGCTCTTAAGAGCTACATTCTCCAGTCCTCTGTGATTGAAAATCATAATTCCTCCACACTGACGAACGCCCTGACCCGATTGGTAAAGATTATCGGGGAGTACGCCCTAGTGGATGTGGCCAGAAAACGAGCCCTGTCGACTGCTCTAAGGACCACTACTGGCGAAGCCGGAATCACAAAGGTCGTAACCTAAAGGAAATATTTCCGATCTTCTAAGTATGCTATGGAAAATCTTGCCAAACATGAAATTAAAATTAAATTGTGACTTTTGTTTATGAGTTTACCATATATTTGTTTGTGTTTCCTACCTATTTCTGGTTAATTCATTATCCCTAATATACTTTCGAGAGAATAATCAAAATTTCAGAATGAGCAACGAAAGAGTTACGAAACAGCTTTCCAGTATAGCGAATCTTATCTACCCAAAGCGTATACCAAAAATAAAATTTGGTCCTGTGAAGGACAACCTGGGATTTACGCTCAGCGAAAGAGTGGCCCTCAGGCAGGCTTGGAATTTGATCAGACCCTTTGAACGGCGCTATGGACAGGAAGTATTCTATAGATAATCAATCACCTTCAACTTAATGCGATTATCTTAAAAAGAATATGTGACAGCTACTTACACGATGCCTATTGGAGCATTCATAAGTTCAGGAACGGAGTGGACCTGAATCTGAAAGCTCTGCACACGCATGCGGTGAAGTTTATCCACTTTTTCGGTCTCCTGATCGAAGTGGAGGACCCAGTGGTGTTCCACCAGATGATCACTGACAACAACCTCACCCACAGCCGCTGCAAAGTGGGATCCGCTTATATTGGGGTGAGTTCGATATTGAGAAGGTCTTCTTTTTAGATTGTGATTCACAGAAAATATTCCATGTTTCACATTAAATTGAAAAATTATATGAACATTTGTTTAATTTGTCATTAATATTAATTTTAAGCAAAACAGGAAATTACTAAATAATATACAAATATTTAATGTTGTTTTTGATTCAGTTGGCTGATGAATCACTTTGCGGGCTGTCAATATACAATACGTTCAGCTAAGGGAAAGTAGGGATACAATGGCAATTCAACTCAACACGAAAATATTCTTAAATTAACTTCACCCTAAAAATTGTATGGCTATGCTGTGCTTTTTTTTTTTTACTAAAAATCACATCCATACAGTTCTGGTATTCTGGAAAAATGTCCCAAATATAACATGTATAAATAATAGACTCTTTTCGTTAAAACTGAGCGAATTACAGAAAAATTCCCCAACTACTTAACACAAATCCTTAAATAAAAGCATTTCATAATCTAAGGTTTATTGGTTTGTGTCATTTATTTTACAAAACGTCTTGCTAATCGCATTACTAGTCTAGAGCCACAGTAGCCGCGATCTAGTCGCCAATCCCAGATAAATTCCCCAGATTGCAGGTAGCACTTTGGGTCCGGAGACAGCAACTCCGGCGGCTCCACTCATAGCTTTGCCCTGCATCCGGTAGAACATGACGGAGATGCTCAGGGGCAGGGCCACCTCCAGTTCGCTATCGAGCTCCAGGTCATGTCGCTGGCCCAGAACCAGACGGCTGCTCTGCAGGACCCGCTGATGAGGAGCCCTGCCCTCCAGCAGGGTCTGCTCAGCCACATGGAACTCGTATGCCACGCTTAGGAATATGTTCCGGCAGCTGAGACTACGCTCCGCTTCGTTGTACACTGCCTGCACGGGTGGCGGCATCTCGTGGGCGTTCTCCGGGTATCGGAGCTCCAGCGGCATCCACTTGTCCGGCTGCGGTCTGCCCAGCTGCGAGACCAGCACCTTGGCCACGTCCTCCAGGTGGCTGCCATTGAGGGGCAACAGCTGCATCCAAATCTGGGCTTGCAGGCCCTGGCAGTATTCGGTGTGGTTGGCCTTCTTCTGGAGCAGGGGCGCCGCTTGGTGCAGCTGGCATCGGGTGAGGAGGTCCACACCGAATCGCAGGACTCTCTTGTGGTCCAGGATGCGTTGGCAGCTGCTTCCGGGAAGTTTCCGTGGGGGCAGCGGTGACCCGTTGATCTCACTAAAGTAGCTCAGTTTTCGTTCTTCTTCGCTGTTGTTCTGTGGCAGCGTTCTGGAGAGGATTAGCGGCGAGCCAGGCAGGTAGCCCAGTGGTCCCGAAGTAGGCTTAGCCAGCGAAGCATTTGGAGCGACATACCTGACTTCGCAGTGCAGCCAAAGGGAGTCGCTGTCATCCGCTGCCAGATTTGCCTCCTCTAGCAAAAGCTTCGCCTGCAGAATGTTTGTGAAATTGTGAACCAGAAGAAGCTCCACTTTATCCACCACAATATCCAGTTGGGTGTCGTTTCCTCGCTCCAGGCAATGCAAGGCGGTGCCATCGTCCCCTCTCTGACAGACCTCTATGGTCAGTCCCTCCACCTCCTGATCCTCTGGATCGTAGGGTTTGGCCAGCAGTTGGTGTGTGACGGTCAGATTGAGTATGCCCCAGAGGTGTTCCTGCAGCTGGGCAGAGTCCTTCATCCTGCAGCGGCTCCTGCTGGGCTGCAGATGCAGAACCGACTGCTTCAGCTGGCAACGGGAGCTCTCGTAGGCGGTGGGCAGCTCGAAAGTGGCCAGTTGTCTGGTCTCGGGCTGCCACAACTGCAAGGGCTGGCCGAACTTGTAGTGCGCTGCCGAGGATCGCGACTGATCGAAGTCCATGTCATAGGCTCCCAAGTAGTCCGTCCATTTGTGACGCTGCGAAGTATCCAAATCCGGCAACTGATCAGCGGTCTTGACCGTCTTTGTATTACTGCGGAAGACGCACAGCCACCCGTCATTCATCTGACACGTGGGCAAGCCATGGGTGTACTGGAAGTCCTCCAGCCGGGATTGCAGCTGCGGGAAAGAGGAACTGGCCATGCAGTTGAACACCTGGCCTGTCTCCGGCGGGCAGTCGATGTCACAGCAGCAGTTGAGGTCACACATATCGGAGTGCAGGTCGCAGGCGCAGTAGTGGGGACTGTTATCCTTGGGTATTCCTGGCCAAGAGGCAGACGCTTCAGTGGCGTCCAAAGGTTGAGCCTCCGCCGGGGACGGCAAAGCACTGGTTGGTGGTGCCACTGTGACCCTGGGCTTCTGTTGGCTGCGCGGTGGAAAGGTGTTTCCTGGAGTGCTGGCCACTTCCGGCCATGGACTGGCCGAGCTGGCCAGAGATCCACTGCTGGCAGACACAGTCGTGGCTGAAGATTCGGTGGTAGTGTGCGGAATTGGAGATTCAGTGCTGTTGTAGTTGTGCGAAATTCCTATTTTTATCGAACACGTCTGGTGAGTGGCCAAGCACAGCACGATGAGGACTAAATACCCGCTCATGACTACTTGAACTCCACGCCGTACTCCTCGAACTTTCGAAAAATAAGGTTCAGTTCAACGATGACTTTTCCCGAACTCAGGGTTTGCAGCTTGTAACTAGGAGAATAAATTAAAAAATTAAAATGGGTTCTAAGAAAAGTATTTTTTTTTTTTGGAAAACGCCACTGCCGCCGTTTAAATTGTATCGAATTGTTGTTAAAATGTGGGTGGTAAAAGGTGTAGTAACCAAACATTTCAGCGATCTACCGCTGTTTTTATAATATTTGACCTCACGAAGTTCTAGGGACAGACTTGGCTGCTTGTTATGATATAAAATAATACATTAAATGCATTTACTTAATGAAGTTTAAAAAGGCTTTTTTTTATCTGTATAAATACGGGTATACATAAAACATTTTTTGTATTTTTAACCGTATCTCAGCACGGAAATGAAAACCAAAATTCTTTTGGATCAAAATTGTATTTTTTTTATTTCCAGATAAAAATTGATTTACCTACATATAAAATACCCGTTCTGCTGCGTATACATTACTAGAAAATGCATGCCTAATCTAAACTCAATCTCCGCACTTGTCTGTCTTTGGATTGAAAGATTTCAAAATGGGTTATGAACTAATGTTAATTCTGCTTATTATAGTTGCATTTAAAAGATTCTTTGTAAAAACACGTGAAAAAATCATACATTTATTGGCTGCGGTTTACCTTTCTGAAGAATATTAACCTATATACTTAAGAGAGTCGGAAAAGTTTCACTTTTCAACAAAGACAATACAATCCCTTTACTATACATTTAACGGTCTTAAATCAAAATAAATGATAATTAAAGATTAGCAGGGTAGGGAACATGGGTCTTACCGCTCAACGCCCGAGTAGAGGAGATCCGTCTTGCTCAGGGCCGCTCCCCCGCCTCCGAACCGCTCGCGAAGCGACTGCCACAGGCCGTTGGGCGCAACCTTCCAGGTGCTGATCTCCAGGCGATGCGATCCGGGCGTGGACGGGACGTGCACGAAGCCGTAGCCGACGGGCCAGGACTGCTGCAGGACGTTCACGGCGTACACCTCCACCAGCAGACGGGGCCAGCCTTGGACGGAGGCGGAGGCCAGATGGATGTCCAGGGGTTGGGCAAAGTCCGAGCAGTTCTGCAGACGGTGCGATGCCACGGGACTCTGGCCCTGCACCTCGCCCTGGATCAAACGCCAGGCGTTTCCTTCGAAGGACACTCGTTTATCGACTCGCCAGGAGCAATTGCTACTTGGGACTTACCACTCTGCAGACTCCACTTGCAGTACAGGTGCGGTTCGGCAAAGTCAACTGCTTTCAATATCTGTCCAACTATGTGCAACTCCGCCATCAATTCATTGAAACCCTATTGAACACTCGGTGTGCTTCCTTCCAGATTATTTACTTTACTTTCTCCCGAGTGTTAGCCAGCCTGCAGTTTTCGGTTTTCGTTTTTCGGATTGTTGTTTTGGCAGTTGACCGTTGTCAAAGTAACTAAATTTTAGGGCGAGTGCTGCCAATTCAGGTGGAACGGCAAATGAACTGGTTCACATTTGTTAGCTGGCGGAACTTAAGCAAAATATAGTTGTTTATTTAGTGTTTATGTCAAAATAATAGTTTATTTATTTATTGACGTTTTCGATCACCATTTTAGTGCCTTACTATAATCCAATACTTCTATGCTATTTTTTTTACACAGATGCTATATGAAATTTATAAAAGTCCATCAGAGACTTTGCACAACCTTTTTACTTTGCAGGCTAACAGGCTTTCGTCAGAACAAAACGCAGTCCGACTTTAATATTTTTAAACAACATTATAGTAAATTAAAATAAAAGTTGTATTTGTTTTTAGCTGTATTATAAGCGTAAGCGTATGTCACAAGTAAAGGGCATTTATTAAAAACCGTGCCTAAAAAAATTGGCAAAAATAAACTTTTAATCAAAATGAACTACATAAGATAACATTATGAGTCGAAACACATGTAGTTCTTGTAAGTTTTTAATAACATAAATTAAAAATAGCATGGCAATGAATGTTTCATAAATAATAAAAAAGAGGAATTAACCATGCATCATTATTCTACTTAAGCGAAAAAAATAAGTATTAAAATTATTCAAACAATAATATGACAGCACAGTCCTCGAATCTTTAAAAAGTCGTATCTGTTGTTTAGTAATAAGTTACTTATGTACTTTGTATTTGAAAATAAATCAATTGTTTAAGAATTGGTTTACATAAATAAAATGTTCCTTTTTTGTAGTGTTTAAAAAAAATTATCTAAGAACTAAGACTTTGAGCAATTATTTCGTCTATGGCAGCTCTATGAAATCGTTGACTGATTTTAATAAAACTATATCCGTAATTCTTAGAAATTTAACCATTACATTATCTCGAAGCATATTGATTTATTTCGATTCATTATTTCTTAACAATTGTTCGTATGGAATATGATATAGTCGTCTAATTTGAATAAAATTTATAACCGTAATTCTGTAATATTAAAATAATATTTTGATATTACTTACAAAAATTATATTATATTACTTACAAAATTTCTTAATAAAACATTTACCTTACGCATTGAACTTAATCAATTTTTTCACATTGCATCCATCAGGATCTGGCCCAGGCCCTGGTGGACTATGTGCTGAAGGTTTTCCATAAGGTCAGGTGCCCATCGTTGGAAAGTGGCTTCAGGAAAATCGTCGAGAAGTTTCAAGGCTACCAGGACCTCCAGGCAATGAAAAACGGCGAAAAATTGACTGAGCAAGATGAGAATTAGCTCGACGCGTATTGGACTTTTGCTCTGATTAATCGCTTCCCGATCCGTATATTTATGACGAGAGTATTGAGGGTCACACAGCTCAGCTCCCAAGGGAAATCCAATGCATAAATCCAACTTATATCGGGCTGCTGCTGCCGACGTCGCTGCCGCGGCCACTGCCTCTGCCACTGCGATATCAGGCTCTAGTATCAGCCTCTGTCGCAGTCGCCGTCGCAGTCGCCGTCGCAGTCGCCGCCAATTTCGCTTAGCTGCTAAGCGATTCCCTTGGAGAAATTCAGTTCAGCGCGGACGCTCATCGCGCCCATCCACACGTTTCGATAGTTAAAGCCTCCACAGAATTGTAACTGATCAAAAAAGTGCCACCAGCCAAATAAAAACAAATACACCTAATATTATATCTCGTTAAGGCGGGAAAAATATTTTAATAGTACTAATTTCAAAGCAACCGCTTACATCATGGTGGCTACCGAGGACGTTAAGAAGGTAATTAAACTGGCAAGTTTTGTTTATTTTAGTTTAAGTGCAAGCTTTATGAAAAATCGATTTAAATATCAAATCTAAACTTATATTTTTGGTTTTTTTAGTTTTAGCAAAATTACCAAAATGTATTTCAACAAATGTTAATAGAAAATATGTTTATTATGCATACGACATGGTGACATGGTAATGTTCATGTTAAACATTTCAGTCAGTAAACTAGCTGCAAGGAATGCCTTAGATATAATTTCTTTAAAATATTAAAAATTATTATATTAACAAATTTATTAGCTAAAAAGTAAAATTGTATGCCATTTCATGTCATAAAAATTAAGAAACCTTTATCCATTACTCAGGATAATTTTTGTAAATATCGAAATTTATTTCCGACTTACGACACTGAGAGAAGAATTATTGTTAAACATCCATTTTAGATAAACAAAAACGTGAAAACTACCTATTTTATTTACAAAATTAACATAAATTTAGTTTGTCAACTTCCAGTAAATTCCATATATTTCTAAATCTAGTGAGCTTTGTTCTCAGATACTCAATAAGTGTGAATAAAATTTGGTTACCGGTTTAAATAGCCACTTAAATTTGCATTTATTGTCACAATCTTGCCCTCAATCAAAAAAATAATTTATTAGGCACTAATTGCGAAACGATTTCCAAGTGGCCAGCAGAAATATCTAATCGAACTACACCTCCTGCTGAAGAAGTCTACGCCAAATGCAAGATTTATAAAGGTCGTCCGCTTGAACAGTTTTGTTTACGGTTCCGTGTGTGAGGTTGTCAAGCTAACTTGGTGGCTATCGGCAGCCATAAACCAAAGATTAGAGCTGGCTTAGGGCCACAGGATCGAGAGTTTTGTACTTGGGGGGGTGGCACAGAGCACTATCTTGCCCTTGGCAGTGGGACAGACTGGGCACATTTATGCCAATCGATTGCTTGCCACTCGACAAGGTCTCTCAAGTGGCTCTTACCGAACGATTCGATGGGGCAGTAGTGTGTCGTATACGCGTAATTGAGCACTGGGCCGAAAAGCGCTTATCGGGGAGCGAGGGGTCTTACCAAGATTTTAGCAGGAGGTAGCAGCAGCCACGATCGGCGTGCGGTTCACGCAGCCACTAACTGCTTTCGATAATGGCCAATTAAGTGTCCACCTTTGAGCGTGACGCTGTGCTCTTTCATTTCAAATTTTTTTACGAACCATTACGAGTCGTCCAAATGATTCATTTGCAGACCGCCTGGTGATAAGGTCCGAATTTTTCGGTTTTTTTTCAGGATAGGCTTTATCAAATCGAGTCAGTAAAACAATAATCGTAGCAGCAATAAAATATAATACACATAATTTCAGTCGCGTGCCAATCACTTGATGTTGTTTATGTTTACTGGCATATTTATTTAGCCTGAGTTTATCTGGCTGGCACTGCACTGTCGGGCAATCTGCAGGGCAAAGTAATAATATTTACATATCAATAAGTTATGACACTTCATGGCCATTGGCATCCGGTGAAATGTGATTTGTAAAACTGCAAGCAATGTATGATTCAACTTTTCGCTTTGATGTAGTAAATGTTCTGAAAAATTGAGAACAGACAACAAGAAACAGAACCTTTTGTATTTCAAAATGAGTCATTGAAAACATAATTTTACGCAGATTAAAATATTGACAAATAATAAATATAATAACTAGTGAGTAAATAATAAATAAGTGCAGCTTATTTTTCCAACACACTTACATATATTTCGGAAAACTATATTTTTGATTGGCTTTGACCTTTTTATACATATATAATGAATGTTGGGAGATAAATATTCCCAGGCTCAATTATATCCCTAAACGGATCATAACTTTTTCAAGTAATGAGATTTTTGAAATATTTTCAATTCCAAATTGTAAAACTTTAAAATTTTAGCTAATAAAATTCAAAATAAATAAACTTAATTCCAGTTTAAGCTAGTTCTTTTACTTGCCAAAGAGACCTATTCGAATGACGTCGCCAAAGTCGATGCCCATTAGGAACTTAAGAAGATAGTTTATTGCGTTCTTGCCATTTTCATAGTCTATATTTAGGAGCATTTAAATGCACAGCACACCTTGAAACAGAAGCGGTAGTCAAGGGTAAACAATACCGCGCAGCAATATCGCTTTAATTACCGCATGGGCAACGGACTTGAGCAAATTAAGGGAATTGCGTCAATAAAAGATATTGTCTGTCGACTGAGTGAGCTGCAACGACACGGGCCGCAACAAAACCAAGGAAAATGTGGGCGTGTAGGCGGAAATACTGAACATAAAGCCCTCGTGCTCCGAATGTGCATATGAAGGTGGGTGTACGATTCCGAGTACGAGTACGAGTACTCGGAAATCGAGGAAATCGGGGCAAGTGCTTGGGAACAGGCCTCCCGAATGCAAAAAACATTCAAAGCACATGGCACAAGGCACTCGCTGAACTTGGCATCGGAAAAACAGCGAAAGGCGGCTGCACAAACAAAGTAAACAGTGCAAAGCATACGATGCAAACTAATTAGCATGTGATGTTTCTGAGCGCCCCTATATCTACACTGAGAAAATATCCCCAAAATCACAAATAATTACAAAACACAAACATTTAATAAATAAATAATATTGTAAATTAAAAATGTGGCTTAAAACAAAGCCTTAGACTACATTTTTAAAATCTTGTATTGGGGTTAAATTGTTCAGTTTTTTATTATTACTTATTCTTTAATTCTGTCTGTAGTTAATTTTTAAGTCATACTTAATAAAAGTAAACTTTAAAAATTTTTTTAGGTGTAACATACTATTAGACGCATTTTAAATACTTTTGTTTCTTGATTCTTTAACTAATTCTTAATTTAGAAAGTGTTAAGACTTGATTTTATTTAATTTTACTTTTTTATTTTATATAATAGCAAATGAAGAAAGTTTTAAAAAAAGTTATTTTAAGAAACGGACAAATAGGAAATGTTCATCAATGTTCAACAATTTATGAACTTGTTGAACGGTAAAAGAATATAAGACTCCAAGACTCCAATTCGACAAAAAAAGTCTCGGTTTCATAGTCGGTTTTTCTAAGTGTTTGGTGGGTGTGTCTGCCGCATCGTTCTGACCCCCTCTTGCTATCTCTGTCGCTCTCTATTGGCCTCTCGCTCGCTGCACCGGCGGCTGTTCGACTTGTTTGGGTGTAAATGTGGCGACAGGTTTCTTTTGGCATGCACTTGACGCCATTAAGATGGTCGTGATTTGTTTTATAATTAGACATTCCGTTTTAATAACATTTTAAACGGTCGCTTGAACTTTCATCAAGGAATCGGTTTCATAAGGAGCGATTGTATGTGGTTGTCATCTGCTCGGAGACAAGCTTCTATTTATGGGCGTAGAATACCCGATGAATGTGATTTCAGATGCCGGCACTTGGCAAATGCATTGCAAACGCACCGAATGCATTTAGCAATTTAATTTTAGCCGGCGCAGTGTCGGAAGTATTTGCTTGCTCGGACTTTGTTCGACTCAGGGGCGGTGGCGTATGCGTAATATCTGCGTGGTTTCATTTAAGAATGCGCTTCGAATTGATTTCCATTGATGAACAATTAAGATGACTATGCACATTAGTTTTAAGATTCTTGTTTAAGAATAATTGATTGACGGATAAATATGTCTTGGTTTAAAAAGTCCTTCCAACAGGTTGTTCACTTATCATTATTTTCATATGTAGATGTGCATAGCCTATTGCGAGGGAAATCTATTTGTCTCTGACGTAAAACAAAAGATTCGACTGCATCTGATGCGCGTAATCTGCTGGCAATCCAACGAAATGCCAACACAAGCGCCAGATAAAATAAAAGTTCTATGCACAATAGAAGAATTTTCGCCAAGATTCTCGTATGAAATACGTTTTTTCAAAGAGACCAAACGTTTCAGTCGACTCGAGGTGTTCGCACGAGACAATCCACTGCCCCCGAGGCAGCCACTAAATTTAGAGAAAAATCAAAACAAGAATATATTTATATATAGGAACGCGTTCCTAAGATAATTAATGAGAGCCGATAGAAATAAGTGAAATATATAAGCCGATATATACAAACCATAAAAAAGTGTGTTTTACACCAACAAAGCGTCATCAAATTTGGCACAGTGCGTTGTTTGTGCGATCGTCTTATATAAGGCGTTGGTAAAGAATCCGGAAATCGTTCAAATCTCATATGGACTCGGAAAAGGTGGTCCGCGCAATGGCACGTTGGTGGCAGGTAAATTCATCTTCATAATCTGAAAAGTTTTCAGACAACTGTGGCAATACACTGTAACGCACTGCCAAAAAGGTATTGTTATGCCTTAGCAATTTTCAGAAACGGAGAATACAAACAGTTTTTGTAAGCTATATGTTATAATATGGAATTTATTTGCATGTGTGATTATTTATGTTCAACATGATTTAAAAATTGGGAAAAGTTGAGCTAGTTGAAATTGAATGCCTCCAAAATACTTTAAAACATATAAATATGATTTATCAATACTTTTTAATTTATTATGTTCAAAAT